CGATCAATTGCAAGTTTTCTGGAGAAAAAAAACTGTCTAAATCTCAGACGCCATTGTAATCAAAATAACCCACGACGTACAATTACGACCATCGACATCCAGCCATGGTCAGCATTGACAAAAACCGAAAAAATCGTCAAAACATTTCTCGTTGAAATGGCTTTTTTAAACAATTTTCATGGTGTGCGAAAAAAATCTCCCAACCACAACGATTTCATAATGGTACCCTTTCTTAAAATCTCAAAAGATAAACTGTACTTGCATCTGATAGGGAGCGCGTTATCCCTGGGGTGCTTACCGTAGCTTATTTTAGCTTAAAGCTTTAAGCCCATCGTCATCCGCCTTACTGTGCGTTCTTTCTCTATCAGGGGAAAAATCTCATTCTTTAAATATAGAAAAGTACCAGCTTTGACCAAAATCGCTGCAAATTTTTCTTTTGAAAAACAATTCAGTAGTTAAAAAGGTGTTTTTCCCTCTTGCCAAAAGTTAAATTAATTAACTGAAACATCAAAGCAATTAGTGGTTATTGATTTTAAAAAAACATACGAATTTTCTTTTCAACCCTTTGATGAAAGTGATGTACATGCAATATAAAAGAAACAATAATAAATGCCCATTCGAGAGATTTATAGATACGTTGTTCTCAGCAACTTCGTTCCCACTCAGCGGACCTGACAGTAATTTGAAAAGAATCTCGTAAAGTAAGATCTCATATGATGGATAAAAACTTGCTACTCAGCCTGAGTTTGCCCATCTTCGGTTAATTAACTTTCCTCTTTCACCCCTTTATCTGAAAAGACGGCTTGCGAGTAAAGCAATTGGAAAACAAAAAATCAAGTTTTTAGCCTCGATTATTTTCGGTTGTGATTTTCAAATGTCAAGCGGTTTATTTTTAAACTAATTCATTTATTTACTTACCTGGCCAACTTGTGCTCTTAAGTAAATTTGATAACATTTTAGAAAACAAAACAAACACAAAAAATATAAAAAATATTCATAACTATACATAAATAATAAAAAAGAGGAACTACTCATTAGCAGTCATTCCTATATATCAGCATTAATCTCTTTTGCTTTAGCTTGGGAAGTAAGGAATAGTAAGTAATAAAAAGTATGTACTTACTTGTGTAATAAGAAGTCTTAAGACGAGTGAAGCGGCTGTTTAGTTTTTGTCTTTTTAGTCGTGTGAGTGGGTTCCAGTTTGTCACTATATAGCCCTTTTAGCGGACTATATTACTGGTAGGAAAAGGAAACTACAGTAGTAGATGGAAGCAGTGGATATTTTCCTAGGGTAAAAGTGGCATGTTCACATTTTTGTATGTTTATTGTCATCCGCCGCTTGAACCGCTGATCAAGGGATATGAGATGGTTAAGACGACAAGATCTTTGGATCATCGAGGATGGCGTGTCATCCGCATAGGTGGTAAGGAACGTTTCAGAAATGATAGGAATTTCTCCAGTACACTATGTGGACGATGGGTCGTAAGATAATTTCTTGAGGTATGCGATAGCCTATTGATAGAGGGGGGTCACGGATATCTTAAAAGTTGATAGATTTTAGAATCAGGTAGTAGGTAAACAGAAGAGTTGTCTTGATTGCCATACCCGATCAAAATTTACATCTAGGAATACACCGAAACTGGTGCTTGACGTGCTCAAAAGCGGTGGCGATGACGTCTACAACGCGATGGCTCTGCTGAACAGTGGAATGAAAATGTGTGTTTGACATATTAACTTTGAATCCATTATTAGTTGTGATTGAGGCATTGTTTTCTAAAATTCTGGATTTAATACTCTTATTACTTTACGATATCAGCCAAAAACCGTAAAAATAATAGTACCCGTAGTTTTAGTACTACATGTACTCCACTCAGAAGAAATTAGTGTGGGTAAACATGATTACGCTGTAATTTCTTTTTAGATCAACTTGATCTGCCTATAATCGTTGGTTTGTCTGTCAGGCATTTCAACATTTTACCTTCTCTTCGGTGTGTCTATGAGAGTTTTATGATAGGCAGACCAAAGCGGTAGCGATAATGTCTATAACGCGATGGCACTCTGAATATTGAAATGAGAACTTCTGAACCTAAACTGGAGGTCAGGAATAAGTTTACAGAAATGAAGGATGGGGAAGATGTGTTTAAGCAAGAGTTTTTCTATGCTTTTGCCCATTTCAGGCAAACTAATTGGACGGCAGGATGATGGAAGGTTATTTTATGCTTTGGAATCATTTGGATGAGGGAAAATTTCCATTAATGGAAAGAATGTTGTTCTAAGGACAGATTCATAAAGGTAGGTAAGGAAAACTACAGCTTTTTTAGGTATTTAGGTAGATATCGAAGGATTTTTGAAGTGGTCAGGTCTGAACAAGGACTTTTCTTCAGTAATAGATGATATGGGTTACTTCAGTGGGTGTGAATGGTTTTAGAGGAGAGAGAGAGGTGGAGGAGTTTAGGTCTTGTTCTGCAATTCTATTGAAGGCGGGCTCTTCAGGTCTGGGTGAGGAGTGAACAGGCTGTCTAGATAGAAGGCGAATCATTAGGCTTTTTTTCGTCGGAATTGGCCCAGAAATCATCATAACGGCGAAAGTGAGAAGGATCGGATTTATATGATAAGATTCTGTGTGCTGCTGTCCAAAGAGATATTGTCCCCGTGGGCAGAGAACGTTTGTAGTCAAAGAATGGTTGTTGTTTCAAAGTTTATTTGTTTCTTAGTAAGTTAGACCCTGGCAGAAGTCAGTGATACCAATGACCTGACCCTGGCATGGGTCCTGAGCATTCGGAGCAAAGAGGCAATGAGAAATTGGACATGGCAAAAAAAAGATCCAATATGAATTCTGTAGCCCCTGAACTCTAGTTTGTCCAAGCATCTTGCCACAAAAAAGGACATGTCCAAAAATAGATCCTTAATGAGTCCAAAGCCATACCCCAGGATACATAGACGGGCTATCCACAAGACTTACAAAATTACTGGAAGTTCATCGCAACATAACCAGGATTCTGGTTTGACTTCAAGTCTGAACTGGACGGTAACTAGATAGGATTACAGACAGAAAAACACTGTGCAGATATTCCCAGGAAAAAGATGAGACCGCGAAACACGTTTTATGTTTTTATGATGGGTCTGTGTAGATGTAGATTCTAGCAACTAGGAGAGGAAAAGCCGTTTTATAAGCGTTTGTCAGACGGATAACGATTGGGCAGCCTCTTGGCTCTTGCTTGTCGTTTCTCCATAAACATGATTCGTATGTACAGAGGTATGACGTATTTGTCATCTATAGCTCTAGTATGTATTTTTGTCGACTCCAGGATAGTTTTGTGTACTGTTAAGGTTCAAAATAAAAAAAGAAATCCACTCCATCGTTTACATTTGACTGTTATCATTTGTACTTAAGGGACAACAAAAGATAAGTGGGCAAATAATCTTTATTGCTATTTGGAAATCTAGTATCTCAACAAAAAAAACCCGGCTGGCCAAAATTAATATCCCAACTGCAGATAACAGTTCATCGATTAGACGATGAATTTGACAATGACATTTAAAATGAAAGTTAAGAAAAAACATATCTAAACATACTATCTTCTTACAAGATTGGAATTCGTTCACGGCCTGTTGTAATCATTATCGCATTTGTTATAAGCCGATTGTTTTAACTTTTTAATAATTGTTCATTAATATTGCATCACACAATACAATTGCGTTATCGCAATGCTTTTTGTAAAACCAACTAATAAAATAAATCAAGCGGAAATATAAATTTCATTGATTAAATTGAAATTAATTTTTTTTCTGCATTTCTGCCTTTCCTTTCAAACCAAGGACGGATGTTTCACCCCCATAAATACATCAAACCAACATAGAGACATGGAGGCCCTGAAGCTAAATAGATACATCCAACACGGGCGATATGCACTCTGAAGCATGAAGACACGCGCATTAATAACTCTGACGGCAATAAAACAGAAGAGAAAGTTGGATGTTCAGTCGTAGTATTTGTAGGTACAAACTGGCATCAACCAGCGTGTCAGATTTCAATCTAGACTCGTGAGCTGGTGCTCAAATAATCAAGCTGAGCTCCTGGTGATTTTAAAAGCCCTGGATTGGATTCTAATAATCAAGGATTCACGCATCAGTTGCAAAAGGGCAACCATATGGAAGACATATAGCAATTAAAATGGTCAACAATATTAAATAATTGGGTGAATCAATTAGAAATACTCTATTCGACCTTAATAAACATAAATGTAAAGTTATTGAGAGCTCGGCAGTACGCAAGACACCCTGGAAATGAACTTGCTGACGGACTGGCAAAACGTGCAGTAACTGTTTCCTTACTCGATGTAGAATTCCAGTCTCGTATGTGGGAAAAATCAGTGAGGAATTTTTTCCCGGCTAGTTAATACATTCAAAACTACCCAAGTTCTAAGTTTACATGGCAAGAACAAGTCCTAATTCAAGTCCTACTTGAAGAGATTTCATATAAGGAAAGATGATCTACACAATAAAACTACCTCAGAAATGGGACCACTTAATTTTTGAATGCCCGATCATCGAAAGTGAGATATCCTAATAAGGAACATAGTTTCGGAAGAAGAAAATTGGCCGTCAACTCTGGAAATGCTAAGTATAAAACATTACAAAGACTTCGTTAAATTCATCAACAGTATGAACTTTGATTTAAAAAAGATAATCTGATAATATATTCATATATAAGGCATTCTTGGTTCGCTTTAATATCATTGGTAAATAATTTATTCATTTATTTTGTTGATATCGTAAAAATACGATAACTTATATGAGTAATTAACATATTCTACTTTCAGTAATAAATCGATTTCTTACTCTAGATAATAAATTATAAAATCAAATTATAAGTTCTATATATATTGCACTTATTTATGCAAGTGCTTAGTGCCAGTGGTTCTAGGATTCTGCATTGGAAAAAATGGGCTGATTTGAAAGTCAATGTTTTACAGATTTTTGTTTGTTTTTTGTTTCAGCGAAACGAGCACCGCTTCGAGAAAGCTGCAATGGGCAGACGAAGGAACGCACCACGTGAGGCACGGGAAGCACAAAGGGACGAGGAGAGGAACGCCGGTCATCCAGGTGCAGCAGGAGTCCTGCTACAGTGGGAACGAGGTCCTCATCATCATCGGCGTCACCTGCTTACTCAACTTCGCCTTTGTCCTCCTGGTCATGGCCTGCGTACACTACTGCAGTTCCAAAAACGACAGGATACCAAGGCAAGTTGTGGAACTCTGCGAATGACGTGAAAGAGAACAAATAATTAGTATTTTATTTTTTATTTGATCAAAATCCGTAGAATGTATGAAATTTCAGTATTTATGCCTTTTTACAAGTAAGTAATAGTATACAATACAATAGAGCTTTAAATACACCTCCTGTCAGATGTGGAAAAACGATAAGATGATCTTCTTGGGATCAAATTCTTACCACACCAAATATCCATACGTCATTCCTTCACATCCTTTCTTATTTCCATCCATGAGCATTAAGCATACCTCCTGCCAGATGTGTAACAACTGTAAGATGATCTTCTTGGAATCAAATTCCTACCACACCCACCGTATATCCAGACGTCATTCCTTCACATTCTTTCTTATTTCCATGAGCATTAAAAACACCTCTTATCTGACGAGGAAAAACCATAAGGTGATCTTCTTGAGATCAAATTCCTACCACACCCACCATATATCCAGACGTCATTCCTTCACATTCTTTCTTATTTCCATGAGCATTAAAAACACCTCTTATCAGACGAGGAAAACCCATAAGATGATCTTCTTGAGATCAAATTCCTACCACACCTACCATACATCCAGACGTCATTCCTTCACATTCTTTCTAATTACCAACCAAAAGTATTAATTGCACCTCCTGTCAGACGTGTAAAAACGTTTAAGATGATGATTTCTGCCACACTCAAAAACTCCTGTTACATCCAAGATATATCTAGATCTTGCTCATTCCATGGTCCACTTTGTAATAGGACAAAATCCATAATTTTATAAAAATCAACATTGTTGGAGGTGGGTTTTTCGAAAACATTATCTTATGCTGGGAACCGAGCAATTAGCTGAAAAATGGCTATCATTTTTTATGTATTCTATCTTATGATATTAATTATCAATGTACACTCTTCAAATACTCTTCAAAAATATTTAAGCTTGTCTTATCAAGTACTACCATTGGGTTTACTCATGTTTATCTGCCACATAACCAATAAACACATAATTTTAAAAAAATAAAATCCAGTATATCATCGATGGTCGTCTAAATCGGGAACGGCCGCTCCTCTACCGACAAAGCCTCAATTCTGTGCAATCCAATACTTATCGGTAAGCGTTCGGGTATACAATCCGCTTTACTCACAAAGCCCGGATATATTTTATCAAAACAATACGATAAAATCAATCCGTTGAAAAGACGATTATTATTCTCGACAACGATGGAGTGCTTGTTTCAATGTTGACCCGCCCGGTCATGGCTTCGAGACCTCGTAATTTAAATCGTAAACACTAGTAAAATAAAACGTCGTTTTTTCCCGCTCGATTTGTTTACAGTTTTGACAAAATTATCAAAATCACAGAAGTAATTTATCAAGTCTTACAGTCCAACAAATCCAATTGATGAACTAAGCTCATTTAAAAATCAAAGGCTAGAGTGAACAATATATAAATGGAGTTGAAGTGAAGATCGACCAATTAGTTTTGAAACGTTGAAGAATGGATCAGCTATGGTAATTTACGGGCAAAGAAAACGCTATAACAACCAAAAAACTGATCATTTTAACAAATAATCTATAAACTTAGAATAATGTCAGATCCAATTTAATTTAATGTAAATTTTACATTGAAAATCAGGAATGTGACCAATTAATGTCTTTTCTCTAATTGGGTGACAAACTGCCAAAAACGATCAATAATCTCAATAAAGCATATTAAAATAGACAATACTAACAAATTTTGGTTTTAACAATTTACGGAAGTGTCTCGCGTTGAAGTCATCATCATTACCGCTCTTGAGCGAAAGGAGTGCTGCTCAAGTGTATTCCTGGATATGATGCCTTCGATCGGGTATGGCACCCGGGGCTCTTCTGGAAGTTAAGAGAGTCCTCCCTTTTACCTACTATCTGATCATGCAATCCTACCTAACCGACAGTTACTTTCAGTGGTCCCTCTCTATCGGCCGGTTATTGCACAGATGCAGGGTTACCAGAAGGAAGTATCTTAGGCCCCATCCTCCGGTATATACCGCAGACATTCCTACTCTTCCAAAAACAATCCTTACTACCTATGCGGATGATATCGCCATCCTTTGCTCCCATAAAGACCCTTTAATTTCAACCAGAAACCTGCAAAACTATAATGTCATCAATCCGTTGAGCAGTAGTTCTAGGGGTGGAAGATGACAATAAACAAACAAAAATGTGAACATGTCATTTTCACCCTTCGGAGAATAACCACTGCTACCATCTACTACAATAGTATCCCTTTGCAACCATCTAATGCAGTCCGCTATCTTGGACTATATAGTGACCAAGGACACATGGAGCGCACACACACAACTTAAAAGACAAGAACTAAACAATCGCTTCAGACTTCTTAAAAAGTGCTGAACAACGGTTCAAACTGTCAACTCTACGATTCATTTATATTACTGTTTTGAGACCCATATGGACATACGGCATCGAACTTTGTGGTTCGACAAAAAGTTCCAATCTCCAATTTAATCCCTATAGTCCAAAATCCTCTGTATCATCCTCAATATGTCAGCATTTACAATGACCTTCCAGCCACAGAAATCCTCATGTTAGAAACCTTACATCCCGCACCCTTCCAAGTAATCCTCCCCGACGGCTGAAGCGTCACTGGCTTCGCGACCTCTTAAGTAACAGTGAAAGTAATTTACGCTAACTACTAATGAATCATTCCTCTTTTTATTTACTTACATTTGTTTTGTCTCTGTGTTCTAAAATATTATCAAATTTACTTACGCGCTGCAATTTGCGCAGGTGTAAATAAATAAATTTAAACAAAAATCCAAATTATACACTGCCATTAAAAATAATAATTTACATTTACTTGCTTATAATGAATGCACACATACATTCTGATTTACCGTGAAACTCGGACAGTTCAACGACTACAAAGTTTCATATAGGGCATTATTATGTGCCGGAGCAATGAAACAACTTTTTCTTCCAGTTACATATGAGATATCAGCATAATTTGACTTCTGTTAGTAATCAGAGTTGTCCTGTGGCCTACGAGTTTCAAATTACAAACAGACCATAATTCCAGTCGTACACGTACGCTTTTTATAATGTATTTGTTGTTTTTTTTCCGCAGGTGCGACCAGAAGGTGGAAGATGAATCAAAACGTCTCATATAACTTTCTCTTCTTATCGCCCAATAAATATAATTCAATACGAAACACTTTCTCTTTCTATTTACTTTAAAATGTTAAAGGGTTCAACTTTAAATTAGGTTTGACCCTTTCGTCATGCTTGAAATTAAAAGTTCTCTGTCTGCAAATGGCGCAGCTCGACAACCAATACGTTGGATAATTGGAAACTAAATTTCATTCCGAACTTTTAGACCATTTAATTTGGACGTTTTTTCTCTGAAAGTAAAGTTTCAACAATTTCATCTTGCTAAGACAACAATTTATTATTTAGACTTAAAAATACCATAAGTATCACCTTTGAATGAACTATCACAGTAATTAGTCTGATTATTTAAAATGTTTACAACACGGTGATCTATTGTCATGGGATTATCTCGGTAATCCAAGATATTATTAAAGAAGTATCATATGATTACAACCAGCAACAATTGTTTTGGATTACAGTCAACACCTTTCTGATATGTTTCATATGCCAATCTCTCAGATAATAATATCAAATCACTAGTTATAAAATCCAATCATATTTCAATAATAATAGTGATAAAAAATGTCATCATGCCTCGTCACATCAGTTCAATAGGAAAGTAATTGTCTATTACGTTTTGATAAAAATCACTGTGGTTTAGTTTATCAGGTAATTATGTCGTTTTTTTTTCTCTACCAGGCTTTTAAGATAATAAACTTTTTTTATTAAGAGCTGATTTATTTACAGAAATTTGCGGATTTGTCTTATGCTTTTCTGCCCGATTTTTCACGATAAATAATTTTTTTTATACACAGTTTTTCTAGAAGATCAGTAGTGATGGATGAAAGGTTTATTCAACATCAAAGTGTGACTAATGGAATCCAGTAACCGCTTCGCAGGGTGATTAGTTAAAACAGGAAAGTATTCTACGATCAAACTGCTGATTCTGTCAAACACTTTTTTAATACGATCAATATAAATTCAATTTAATAGAAAAGCTAACTAATGAAATTGGCATACACAATACACACATTCGTTCAAAATTGTGTCTATTTCTTAACAATCCTAAGTTGGGAAGTAAGTGAAGTAACTGCATTTAATGATATTTTTCTTTCAAACGCCTTTTTATTAGGAAAATGGATAAATAAACTTTCTGACATTTCATGAAGATTTTTTCAAATGTATGTTCCTCCTTCATACCAGAAATTCTATAAAATCACAGAACATGCATTAGTAACAAGTACTACGCAGCAATCAAAACTATTTGTCAAAATTTATTTTCAGTTTTAATAAAAATAACCAATATTTGAAGTCTTTTCAGAGGATCTTCGGAAGAGGTCAAAAAACAGAGAAAACTTCCTTACGGTTTTCGCCGAGCTTTCGACAGTTTTATACTGTCATCTTCAGGGCCTGTTTTATTATCATATAAACAAACAATTAAAACATGAAAAAACAATAATTACAACAATAATTGGATATCTTACTTTAAAACCTTAATAGGAAATTATATAAGGTTTTAAAATAAGATATCCAATTATTGTTGTAATTATTGTTTTTTCATGTTTTAATTGTTTGTTTATATGATAATAAAACAGGCCCTGAAGATGACAGTATAAAACTGTCGAAAGCTCGGCGAAAACCGTAAGGAAGTTTTCTCTGTTTTTTGACCTCTTCCGAAGATCCTCTGAAAAGACTTCTTGTATCCAGCAGGTCGATAATCTAGTTCATCGTTACATAACCAATATTTGTTCCATATGAGATCATTTTTTAATATGTATGCAAATACTAAAGATTTAAGACTTAATGAGGTTAAGACAGGTGAGAGGTTTGTAAGAAGATTAAATATAAACTTGTACTAACTTCGAATTGAAGTAATCACTTTCTGGGTCCATCTATTCTCACTGGTTTATTAAGTTGCTCACGTTTCACGTACGTCTGTAAAGAAGATATGAAGCCAAAACGCGTATAAGTGAAAAGTAAAAAAACAGCGAAGCTCGATGGACCCAGAATCGTGATTATCCGCTCGCTAGCCTACCATACTGTGCTTATCTCTCTTTGAAAGTTGGTAGTTCTTTTCAATTTTGGACTGGCTATCCAGAATCCATTTCATCAAGTATGTCAGGCGCAGTTCAACTGTTTGCTATCTTCAGTGTTTTAACAGGTATACAAACCGTCGACTGAAGATGGCAAAAAGCCAAAACTCCTCTGACTGACATTCAACAGACCTGAATGAAAGTAAACGACCTACAGGTTCATCACCCAACAGACATCAAGAAGAAATCTAACTATGATTTGTCTTTGCTAAACGCTGAAAATTTTGTTATTTCAATAACATTTGAAAACCGTTGTTCTTATCTTAGCAATATTATTGTTTTATTTGATAAAAAATGCGCTTGAATAAAACCAGAACAATTGTTAATTATTTTTGCCAAAGGCATGAATGTGCAAAATAACATCGCTTCTACAATGCTAACAGCATGCAAAATTCCCGTTAAACGACCCGGTGGGCAATTATTATCGCGAAGCCCCCCGGCTCGACGACAAAAGATGCTGACCTGCATCATACCGCAGATATGTCCTATTTAATTGGTGAAATAATGAAAATACTAGAAAATCTTTGAAGAGGGGTATCTAACAAAACATATCCACTTTTTAGAAATATTGGAGGTTATAATATCCTTTAAAAAACACGTGATAAATGATAAGTTTGTAACTTGTGGTAAAAGTTATAGGGTGTCATTAAATTAAACTTAAAAAGTTGTTATTTTATTCATGATTTTTATTTATTATTTTTTAACAATGTCTGTCATTAATATGAAATATAGCATATTTCTAGATCTTGCCAAAGCATCATCATCATCTCTTGTGATGAATGAAGAATGATTGCCACATAAAAAAGTACAAGTAAAGTACTACTGCTTGTTAAAATTTGTTTAAAAAACGCGCTTGAGTTAAACTATTTAATTTAAGTAGTAGAAATTATTAAAATAATTTAAGTTAATTCTCTTTTCCCAAAGGCATGAATGTGTAAAATAACATCGCTTTTAGAACGCTTACAGCATGCAAAATTGCCGTTAAACGGCCCTGTGGGCGATTATTATCGCGAAGTCCCCCCCGATTATAATTAATGATCTGCATAATTAAGCCCAGGAACTTCACAGTGTTTTCCTGCCTGGGTGCTTTTTAAAAAAAAAAAGCGAAAACCACTTTTAACCAGATGTTAATCTTCCCTTCACCTACAGAATCGTGAGACAATCCGAATCGAAAAAGACAGACAGACCCATTGCAAAAGTTTAATCTACCCGGATCTTAAACAGCCAGAGACAAATTACGTCTGGTGAAAGCCCCCGTGAACGAAATGCAATTACGTCTGACAAATTCTCTTTAAAAAGTTTTATTTTGAGAAAATTTTGGATTGTTTTGGGCCCTCCGTCTTAAAAGCTTGTCGCTACGAAACTTCATTCGATTCTGCTAAATTTTCAACAGGGACGATGTTTTCACAATAAGACTGAATTTTCCTCGTTATACTAAAAAGCTCGCTTACACAATTTTGGATTAGGTTTAATAAAGGATTGTGTTATTTAAACAGACGTTTTAAATTAAAAATTACCCTAAGTCACCTCTGCCTTTTAACATCCCTTTATTCCCTCATTATTCTCTAATTTATTTAAAACGGAAATTTCAATTCATCCTTTATGAAAATTATTGCTCATTATTACTCAATTAACATGCTATTCCATCAGTCTAATGACTAAAAATTAATTTTCTCGCGAAAAAAAATTTGAAATTTTTTCCAAGCTTATTAATATTGTTTAAATATTTATTAAAAAATAGTATTATCTTAGATTTCTTTTTCTTTATTCATATACAACACTTCTGAATAAAGGATTTTTTTTTAAATAAATATATCCTAATTTACACTACTCAATTTTCAATACTGTTTAATTATGTCATTGGTTCACATTCTTTAATGAATGACAATAAATTGATTCACTGGTATAATTCATTAATTGATATAACTCATTATATTTTAAAGATTTATATTTCATTTATAAAATATAATACTATTATTAACTAGCTATTATTTTTAAACACGCTTCTTAGCATATTATAAATAAATATTTTGNGCTTTTTATCGATTTTGAAAGATATCACGTCCTGGCGTCGGAAAATCGTGATATCTTTTAATCTAAACATTTCTCTTAAAATCTATAAGCACCGTTGAAATCGTGCTCTGTCGTGCTGTTTCATGTTAATCATGGACATTGCTTACAGAGGAGAAAATACAATTTTTAAAAACCACAAATAAAACATATTTTTATGTTTAACAATTTAAATGATATTAAAAAAAGTATTAACTTAATTATAAACCCTCAGGGTGCCGGTGTTTTTGAAAAAAAGCCCATTTGTAAGTATGTCGGGTTCGAATGCAGGGCCGCTGGATTCGAACCCGGGACCTTTACTGTCCAGAGATGAGCGCCATGTCAACGCCTAAATCGTTGCGGCCACCGATGCCCCCCTATTTTTAATTGCTGTAGTTTTTAACAAATAAAACAGGAGTGTTGTTGAGATAAGAACAATGGTTTCAAAATGTTATTGTAATAACAAAATGTCCAGGATTTAGCGAAGAAAATCGTAGTGAGATTTTTTCTTGAGTTCTGCAGAGTGATGAACCAGTTCATTTTTGTCAGGTTAATGTCAGTCTGACGAGTTTCAGCTTTTTGTCATATTCAATAGATGGTTTGAACCTGTATATTTTATTGGGTTTATAAAACTATAAAAACACGGGAAAACGCACAGGCCAACCACTGAAGATAGTAAAATGTTAAAACGCACCTGACAGACTAGATGAAATGAATTGTAGATAGCCAGTCCAAAATGGAAGGAAACTACCGACCTACAAAGACAGATAAACAGTGTTAAAGTTTGATGGTATTGGTTGGCCTGCGAGTGGTTCGCACTCATGTTTCTGGGTCCATCTATCCTCACTGTTTTCTATATCTCTCTCTTATACGTGTTTTTTGGCTTCATATCTTCTTTATGGACGTACATAAAATGTGAGCAACTTAAAAAACCAGTGAGAATAAATGGACCCAGAAAGTAATTAGTGTCAATTCAAAATTAGTACAAGTTTATATTTAATTCCCTAGTTTCGTGGTCCGCTCCCATCTCAAAAGGAAAAATTCAAAAGGTGTGATTGAGATGGGAGGTTGGTGTCCGAGTGGATCGAGGTCACGATAGCTCAAGTGGTCGAGCAGCGGCATATCAAGCCGAAGATCGTGGGTTCGAATCCCGCTCGTGCCATTGACTTTTTTATCTCAACTAAAAACCTTAATTAATTGTTTATATTTAATCTTCTTACAATCCTATCACCAGTATTGAAACTTTCCTGTCTTGACCTTATTAAGACTTAAACTATTAGTATTTAACTATGTTTGTTATAATTAATAAATCAAATATTTTAAAATGTTTATAGTTAAAAAATAATCTTATATGAAATAAAATTGGTTTCTTTCATTAAAACTGAAAATATGTTTAGACAAACAATTTTGATTGCTGCATAGTACTTGTTACTAATGCATGTTCTGTGATTTTATAGAATTTCTGGTATGAAGCAGACATACATTGAACATAAATATGAATAAATCTCCATGAAATGTTAGAAAGTTTATTTATCCGTTTTCCTAAAAAAAGGGTTTTGAAAAGAAAATCTATTTAAGTGCAGTACTTCACTTATTTCCCAACTTAGAAAGTTATGTTAAGAGATAGACCCAATTTTGTATGTTTGACATATTGTGTGTATCATCTTTATTACTTAGCTTTTCTATTAAGCTGAATTTATCTTTCTATTACTTACTTTTACTTCTATTACTATTTTTATTACTAAAAAAGTGTTTGACAGATCAGTAATTTGATTCTGGAATACTCTCCTATTTTTAAATAATCTCCCTGAGGAGTGGTTCCATTAGCCACACTTTGATGTTGAATAACCTTTCATTCATTACAATTAATCTTCTGTAAAAAATATTTCAAAACATTGTTTATTGTGCAAAAGGATTTTGTGAACCTTCTGATAGACAATATATGTAAGAAACCATCTTGTATTTTTTGTAACTCAACATTTCAGCTCAAAATTAATTTATTTTTGATCTTGAAGACCTTGGCGTTGCTTGTGTTCATTGTGAACTTGGTTGGTTCTGTGATATATAACTTGATAATCACCGATTATCCTGATCTTTTTATTTATATTCAATAGTTTGTTTGTACACAGACAAATTACAAAAATAGGCAGACATAATTTTATTTGATTAGTTAGAGCAGTTATCACCTTAAATATAAACACAAACAAGTTTTTATTCTATATCCATAAATCTTAGTAATTAATATATGTACACTAAAGTAAAAATTTGTTTTATGATTTTTGTTTTTCAGACTTGAGTCCGTTTTAATAGAGAGCGAGTCAGACAGCCAGGAAAGCAGGCGAGACTGGGATAGACATAATTCACTGCTGTCACTCCACAATCTCCCACTCTACCGACACAAAACTCCTTCACACTCCATGGAACAGCTTCTTTTTCTCGATTAGTCGAAATTGGACGTTCTTAGCCATCCTTTAGAACGCGTAGAGTCTCTTTTAGGTAAAGAAATAGAGAGCGCCTTCTGAGCTGCCTCAGATTTTACAACCTAATAGTGAGAGAAAACCAGTTGAAATTTGTATATTTTCATACTTCTAGATTGTTGTTATAGCTTTGTGATAATCTCTAAATATTAACACAAAAGAAAACAAAGAGAAAAAAAATTATCAAACTTTTGTAAGTAAACATGCCAGTGCATACTGAAAAAGTTAGATTATATAAATATTAATTAATTGATTATGCAAAAGCAATAGATTTTGTATTTTTTACAACAATAAAAATCCAATTTTATCAGTTAAATACCAATAAAACAAACCAAAAATACAATTAGTTGAAGATTAATTTTATAGGTAAAAGTAAGTTTTGTATCATAAATAATGTTAATAGTTTATAATATATAAGTGTTGTTAACTGAATTAAAAATACAATTATTAGATCAATTATTGACTAGATTAGTTAAATATCAATGAAAACGGAAATATATGTATAAGAAATTAAACATTATTCTACCAAATGATAGAATTGCTTGATGAAGATATTGTCATATAGAGGTCTTTTTCATAATGAAGGATATAATAAACCTGGGGAAATAAGCGTTTACTTACATTTTTTAATGAAATTGTAAAATATAGTAAGTAATTGTGGCACAATCTTATTAGAAGTTATTTCAATAAATAAAACAAAAAAGGTAGATGACAAAATTATTTTGCAAATGTTCGTTTATTAAAAATCATTTATAAATATCTATAATAAAAAAATATTTTTAGATATGTTTACATAGTCAATCCAAATTGTATTTTTATTGATTTTCTAGTCCACTTACTTAAAACATATTTTTTCATGTCTACTAAGTCTTCACCTGATAGAACAAAATAAAATAGATCGTGGGTTCAAATTCAGCTCATGTCACTGACTATTTCATTTCATCCAATACCTTACATAAAAAGATTAATTAAAATAAAAAAGTTTTAAAACAATTCGTAATAATAGATCAACAGAATTTCATCAGTTTTTATTGTCTCATAAATTTTCTCAATGTTTTGATATTTGTATGAGACCGATAAAATTGTTGAGAGACTTAACAATTGTTTTACATAACAAAGTAGAGGACACTAGTGGCTTGAGTGTCCAACTCATATTTGCCACACTAGCAGTCCTGGTCGGATCTGCTTTAGCCTGTGGTTTTTTAATAGATCATAATATTATGTAAGGTGAAATAGTTTGACCATTCTATCCACGACACACTACTTAGCTGGATTTTCCTTCCAGTAAGACATGAATTACAGTAGACTCACATTATCCGAGGGGGATACGTACATCACTGAGGGTAAAACGGTAATGAGAACCACAGATAATAGGAAACACCTCGCATTGTAGGCTTTGAAGCATTTTCTTCTATCTACATACCAATTAGACATTTTCTGTATCGCACCTGCCTTTCATCAATGTTATGTATGAACTTATGTAAACATATTTCAGGTTTTGTTCAATAAGAAAAATATTATGTATGCTAACATACCTAAAGTTTATTCTACTCAGTAAAACAATATACATCAGCATACATATATCAACAGCACCTATGCTTGACATGGAAACAAATGAGAAAAAATTATTATGGCTTAAAAAAGATAAAATTTATTTTAAAAAAAGATCATTAAAGAGAAGTAGAAACAGTGAAATTTGATCTTTCAGCTTTCTCAATGAGAATTGTTAGGAGGCTGCTTTGTTTGGTTTTTCAACTGCTGGAAATTACGTTTATGTTTCGTTCCACTATTGGATCATATTCTATCTTTTATCTTTCTAGTTTTGAGCTAAGTGAAAGATTTCTCCAAATTTTGGTATTTCTACGTACAAAAGTTCTTCCACTTTTTCATTAGCAATAACTCAACCAAAGCTGAATGAAAACGCGAATAACAAAAATACAAATATAAAGAGTCTACTGTACTTTCATAAACTCTCAAAAAAGTCTCACCAACAGGGAACTTGAATAATAGGGAAATAGTGGTTTAAAAACTAATTACTAAATATTATAGAGATAATTCAAACTACCTTAAAACAATCAATTTTACTTTATAGAAACAAACACAAAACTTGAACTGAGTATTTAAAATAAATTAAATGCTTCCCACCACTTAGTTATTAATAGGCTAATAAGCACATATGTAATATACATTAAAATAACATTAAATTTATTATAATGTGTAACTTGTAATATATAACTTGTAAACTAATTTTTTGAAAATTGAGAAGATTCATTAAAAGCAATTTACAAATTGCTAATCACTAATCAATCAATCGAATACTTTCATCAAGTTAAAAGATATAACTTTTTTAAACTTTTTTTTATTGTGCACTTTGCCTTTAGGTTTCTACAATACGATGTCCCTTCTACACATTGCCACCACTATTAACTTTGCATCTTATTTTATATGAGCACGTGTTAGTTGTGAATAGAATAACTTTCGTCATATTTGATTCTGTATCATGGCAACAAATGAAGTTTTACATCGAACATGGGTAGTATGTCTATGTATTTGTATAATGAACTTTTTCCATTTTTATTATTTTCAGCATTTGGTACATTACCAATTTGAAAAAAGTAATATTATAGTACCTGAATAGTGTGAAATCTGTAAATTTTTAATTAATTATATATGAAACTAGTATTTGATTTTATGTATCAGATATTTTTATATTGTAATTATATTTTATAATTAAAATTACTGTTAGTAAATACAAAATTGTAGAGAAAGCGATTATATTGGACCCATTCCATACAGTTGTTATTACAAGAAAATAAGCGGAACTAAACGTCATATCCTTCATGCTGAGCATGATCGAAAATAAAAACCACAACACTTTTTTGTTATGTACCAATTCTCCCAGTGCGGTCCAGAAACTCAGGAGAAGAGCTTCTGTGGCCCCCCTAATAAATAAGACAAAAGAACAGTTAAAAGGAATGAGAGGATTGGTGAGAAGGTCGTGTTGGCATGGGGGAACGAAAAACAGTCAGGTGGCCAAAGAAGCTGCCAAGGCGCTTCCCAACATGTACGTCCAGCGGAGTTAAAACTATTAATTTCAAATACAGAAAAAGGGGAATGGAAAACCCTGGGTTTGTAAAAATAGAAATAACTGTGAAAAAAGAAACAGAAATAAATGTTATATGTAATTTAAAATGGGATTTTTGCATACATTTGGCCTTCCAAATTAAGAATTTTAAAAATTTAAAAAAAATTAAAAATTAAAGCTTTGATGGCAATAGGATAAATTAGTTTACGAGTGAATGTTTGGAGTCAGAGCTTTACAGCACTCAGAAGAGATATAGCTAACCTAAGAAAGAAGGTTTGGATGTTAGGGCGTGAAATGACCTTAGCCGTTAAAACACCCTTAAAAATTAATAATAATAATAATAATAACCTTGCTAAAATGTGGCTAGTTAAGAATGTCGTCGGTCCTTGGTCCATGGAGAATGGTTTGAAAAGGGAAAAGGCCATACTGACCAGACTACACATAGGCCATACAAGAATAACACACAGGCACCTTCTGGCTGGAAAGTGAACGCGTAGTGCCCATTATACAAGGGTAGAGTACATTTCAATTGTAGAAGGCTTGTCATATATGGACAATATTTTGGTATATCATCGGACCTATCACGTAGTCTTCAGGTTCAGCAGCAGGCAAAGGGTACCTCAGGGCCCTACCTGTTTATAGAGTTTATGTTTGTTTGTGTCTGTGTTGACTTTATGTTAATTTATTGAAATTAATGTACTTTATTAGCATGAAAGGAAGGGGTTGTTTAACCCCACCCTGAGGAATATCGAGAACTCTGGGGGAGTGAATGTTTGTGGTGATGTATATATATGAATTGTATGTTTTGTTTCTGTTCTGTATTTGACAACCTGAGGTACAAACAAGAGGATATAATTTTAGGATCTTGGCGTAGTATGCATTTAAAAGCAGAGTTAGTAACCAGGTGCAATTTAAAACAAAGTACTCTCGAAAGAATAGAAAAAGAAGGAAAACACGCAGAGGACCAGTGATGACAGCTGTTTGTCAGCCCATAAACTTCTTACTTTATATATACAAGAAAAGCATCCACAAAATTAGCTTTGGTGTTGTTTTTTTTCTTATTTAGATTGTAGAGTTGTACTGTATTGTTGTACTTTCAGTTGGTTATACTAGAAAATGCGAGAAAAGATTGAATTCTCTACCAAGCTTTACTTATTTCAAAATATTTAGGTTAGAAAAAAAGTCAGCCTCTATGACCGTGACCTGCATGAAGGCCACACTGGCCCAACCTCCCAGTCAGATGACCTGCATGTCATGATGCATAACGTTTTTAGTAATATGAATTTTTTGCCGTCCGGGAGGTGGAAAAATGGAAAACCAGACGACACTGAACATGTTAAAGCTTTTACCAGTTCCCAAAGTTTTTCAAGGATTCCCACATGTATCCTTCAGGCCTGGACTTTTCCTCTCCCAGGAGTAAGGAGCCTTTCAAAAAAAAAACCTTCAGACCAACAGATGGCATTTTCCCCTGTCTCTTCTTCCTGGCAATATCTGTACAGGTTTGTTTGACTAAGTCTGCAGTGTCCAGTCAACAATACACAATTATTCTAATACTAACATGTCCTAGATTTACTAGTTATTAATGTTTTTCCTTGGATTAATTTTTTCGTATGCCATTGTCCTGAGCTACATTCCCATAGAAAGGTGTATTTATTTTTAATATATTGCCTAATGGATCCATGTTTTGTCAGTATGGTATGCCAAAAAACAGTTCAGGGCCGATTTTACCCCAAAGTATTTCAATTTAACTATGGGGGCAATGGGGGCCCCAAACGGGTTAAGCAATGAAAACGCCCCCAACAACGAAAAGGAAAAGGCCCCGGGTCCAAACCAACCGCCCCGCAATTGAAACCAAAAAGCCTAAAAAAGGGTTTTGGTTTGGTTTTTCAAAAAACACCGGCACCCTGAGGGTTTATATGACCTCTGCTGTTGCAAACCCTCGTCTAAAAAAAATTAAACTATGTCAAGGTCTGTGAGGGCTGTCTGCTGAATCTGTGAAGATGAAATGCCAAAACTTATCAGGCATAAAAGCCAGCAAGAATAAAGTATACTATTATGATCAGAGACAATCAAGCAACAAAGTTAATTATACTGTTGTGTTTTTTTTTACAAGGGTTCGCACCCTAAGGGTTTTTTACAAGCAGAGGTCATATCAACCCTGAGGGTGCCAGTGTTTTTGAAAAAAGAGCCCATTTGTAAGTATATCAGGTTCGAATGCAGGTCTGCTGTATAAAATAATGTTTAAATGGTAAGATTACAATAAAAAAATATATTTATTTAATTTTTTTTAATTAAAAGATAAAACTTTTTCCATATGAATTATTGGATATTTGGTTACAAAATAACTTCACTGGCAAGAGTTTATAAAATAATTTCATGTTTGAAGCTTCTTGTCAATTCTTTGTAAGGCAAGACGATTGAATTAAGAAGTATAATTTCAGATGGCACTTTCACACTACAACCTGAAAAAGATTTTTACAAAAGTGTGAAAAATTTAAACTATAACAAAGAGAAAGCAATACCTAAAATTGTAATCGAAGGATTAAGACGTCCGTCTTTGTTGAAAAGCGGAAGGTTGTCCATTTTTGCAAATGGCTTGTTGGGGTTTGGATCACAAGGAGTCCCTTCAACCCTGGCCCAACTGCCTATCTTCACTTGACGCCCTAAAATAAAAACAGTTTGGCATAACAGAATTTGATATATAAATTCACTCAGTCCTACCAACAATCGAGTGAGTCACTAGAGTGTGACTACCAATACAAGCGCTGTCAAGCACCAAGGCGTCTTTTACTCTTACACCTGGCCCAATTACAGCCCCTGCGCCGATACTTACATTTGGACCAATCTGAAAATATTTACATGATCCTGAGTAATTCTTACTTGTGAGTATTTGCTTATAATATCTTCTTTTGGATCAATGGTACTTACACAGGCTGTTGGATCCAAAATGGCAGTCGGATGAATGTAAACATCTCCAATTATATTTTTGTTGTTTGTACATAACCTTTAAGGAAAAATTAATAAACTGAAAAGCATAGGGCAACTAAAACAATACCTTTCTGGATGAGTGTGCCTATATAGCTGTAAGTAATGCCTGTTCGCATAAATGGCAGCACCGGCAGTTTTCAACTGAGACCACCATTTTGTCGTCGTGAAGACATACGCTCTCCCTGAGCCCGCCAGGGGAGTCAGAACGTCTTGCTCCAATTGCATTGCACCCGAGTCTTTGTGAAAATCTCCCGATCCACTAAATTACACATTTTTTTAAAATAAATTGCGCTTTTTTTATACAGATAAAATCGGTGGAAATTACTCATAGTTGATGTTTTTATTTTTCTCCTTGAAAGCCAAAGCTAATGTATCAAAGAGTTCTATTGAGCAAAAATACACACCGCAGTTTATAAAATGGGAAACAAATGTTGAAGGTTTTTCAACATAATGGGTCATGTAATCGAGATTGGGGTGCTTTGCGATACAGCCATAATTCAACGCCTGCTGTTTATTCGTTTCAGTCGCCATTATTGTAATTAGAGCGTTGCCTTTGCTATTGTGAAACTTTAGTATTTCAACTAATGGAAAATCTGCACAGACATCACCGTTGAGGACAAAAAATCCATCAGGGTTTCCGTATCTTAAAAAACAATTATTATAAAATATAAGTTCAAGACCGTAAAAATCCCACAGGCAATGTATACCTAATTTGATCCCGGAAGTGATACATTCCACCTGCCGTTCCTAGTGAAGTAAATTCCTGAAGGTATCTACAATAAACATGTTAAGCATAAAACATATTATTAATGCTACTTACAAATAATAATAACAAACCTAATTGATTTATTGTATTTTTGAGCCATTTCAGAAATAAAGGCTGACAATTCGCTAGCTGGATAATAGCCAAGGATAATTATTTCCTTGAGATCTGGAACTGTCACGCATGCTTCGATATGGTGTTGGATCATCGGGAGACCAGCAACAGGAAAAAGCGGTTTAGCTACATCTAAAGATAATGGTCGAAAACGGGTTCCTAAAACATAAAAACAAAAAAACTTTTACTTAACATATGTACTGCCCTACTAAAAAAAATTTCAATAGTTTTGAGAAAGTGAGCTTTGAAGTTTTTCATCTTGAATATCCTCAGTTAAATTGCCATACTTTTTACAGTTTTTGGCCTAGGACTCAACTTCACTTTTTTATAATCCTGAAAACTTTTTGTATTATAATTTATGACTTATTTATTGATTCACTTGTATTTTACTCATTATTTAATCAAAAAAGTTGTTATGTTAAATTTAACAAGCAAAGATTTGTGTTAATTACTTACAGAAGAGAACATATATGAAAAGAAATTTTTTTTACATAGCTGTTTTTTATTATTATAATTTCTTTTACAATGCAATAGTAACATAACACATAATGAATCATACTACTACTGTATTTCCATATCCTTGGTCAATTCAATTCAATGCATATCCCCACAAACTGATACGTTTTATGCAGAAAATCATAAACTGATGATAAATGATTTGATAAACTTTTTTGCATGCCTCTGTCCCGGGCTACATTCCCATTGAGCGGACTTATTATTAATCCATTGTCTAATGGATCTGTGTTTTTGGCAGTTTGGTAATCCACAAAAGGGTCAGGGCTAATAGGTGTCCTCATCCAACTTTGCTTGGCCAATTTATTGGCCTCTTCGTTGTCCCTCTGCCCTGGCATTGATCATTTTGTTATCTTCCCCAATGTCTGACAGGGCTGTAATGCAGTCACAAATGACTCTAGACTTTACCGTCGGTGTGGCAATTGCCTTCAGTGCCACCTGGCTGTTCTTCTATTGACAAAGCCTTTTTAGCTCCCTGGCACATTTCCGCTTGAAAGTCAGTGGCATATTGTTCAAGTCTTATATGAATTCTAGTCCTATTTCCATAAATACCAGTTCCTCACCTATATTCGGTTTTGGAGCTATCTGTAAACCAGATATGGCCGGCATTAACTAGGATCCCTTTTTCCTAGTCTTTCTACAGTTATTTTTATTAGATTTTTTTTTTGTCAAAACTGAATTTAGAGGTCATGGCAGAAACAGGCATCCCCAGAGTTCTGGCTAGCTGAAGCTTCTCTGAAGCTTGAAAGTTGCTCCTTTTTATGTGAGTAGCCTATCCCTGTATTAGCCTATAAATGGCTGGTGTTATCTCCTTGGATAACGATGTGTAGTGGTGGTAGGTTCAGTCAGATCAAAGACAGATATTTGTCTTAGAAAAGCTATTCATTCCGCCAAGGCCAATGGTAAAAAGTATTTATTAGAATGTCTGGAGTCTTTTGCCCTAAGAGAAGATACCGCTTCCTAGTATCCTCTTTACCATACCATACCATCACAGAAACTAACGACAGAACTACTAAATCTACGACGTGCTAAGACTAGAATAATAATTTGACTGCTGACTGGACACTGCAGACTCCGAAGTGGACTCTACAACAGACTAGACACTCGGAGTGGCAAGCCTGTGCAGATATTGCCAAAAAGAAGAAGAAACAACGGAAAAGGTCCTCTGTTGGTGCGAAGGCCTATGTAGGTTGGGATTCCTAATAAAGGAACACTTGAAAAAGCTTGAAAAATATGGAGATGCACAATAATCCGATACAGGCCGTAAAGAGGCTGGCTCCTATATAATCTAATATTTGTAAGTTTTAAAGAAAAACTTTCTTTTGTTTTTTGAAAAACCGCAATTTACTTTTGACTCACCTTTCAAAGGGCCGCCGATGAGGATCACCGCTTTCAGAGTCATTTCGCTTACGTTTGAGAACTGACGTCCAAAACCAACAAAGCGCGATAAACAATTGTCAGTAGAACCTCTACTATTTTTACTGTTGGATTTTCGCCTACTTTACATTTTTACAGTAGATCCAACGATTTCAGATGTTCAGCACTGATACCCTTGTTGTCAACATTCTTATCGCTTTGATAAATGATACCACCGCCCTTGCGGGATAAACATACATGTCTTATGAAGAAATTTTATTAAAAACATTTTTACAAATTTATGAAAAATATTGTTTTAACCCTAATCGTTTATTTAATCAAAAAACGACGGAGAGTGATGGATTTTTATTTTATTTTATTTTTCTTTTATTGAGGTACAGAAATCCTAACAAGGTGGGAAGGGCGAAATACATGGTGAAATCTGTCAAACTTGCCCTGAAGCTTGAAAGCGGAAGGTTCTGTCAAGCATCACAGTCGATCTGTCAAAAAAGGTTGCGCCATAGGTGATCTGTGATGGTTTAACATAACAGTTCCTGGTGCTGCAGCTGCAGTTTTTCTTTTTTATTGGAGGAAATGAAACATTTTTAATATTTTTTTATCAACCGTAATACTAAAACTATAAAAATGTCCGAGTTCAATGGAACTTGTAACGTAAGTATTACGCCCACTCGTTCCATTCAAGTTATAAAATGTATTAAAAAAATTTAAATTATCTGTACAACTTGTTAAAAAAAGGCCGGTGGTTAAATTTTAAACTTAAAAAAAACCTCTCAGCTTTTCAAATTTCTTGGAAAACATTGCAAGAACACCCTTTCACTTTACATAACTTGTTTTTGATTAGCGTAATTCTTGGAACCGTGCATAACTTGCCACACAAGTTTATTTGACAATTTGTCGAGTACAGTTTCAACAGTACCTCTGTTCAGTTATCTACCGTAATATGTTATTTGTGAAAAACTTTATCTCCTTACCTAAGGTACTGACCGACATTTATAACAAGGGGAGAAATATTTTCATAGAATTGGTGCAAGGAAATATGGTTTAATTTAATTTTAGATAAGAGTTTATATCAAACAGATCTCTGCGCTAAAGCATGCAAGGTGGTGCATTTTAAGTAAGCTATGCTTGAGTAAAGTGTGAATAAATATTGGCTTATCTTGTTTGCAATTATCACATTAAAGTTTTTCATATTTTATTGATTTCAGAAATAACTGAAAATTGTATCTTTTTTTAACGAATGTCATTTTGTGAGATTTCCTCTTGAGATCTAATGAACTCACAATCATTTTGGTTCGTCTATCTTTACTGTTTTGCTGTTTTACTTCTCACCATCTTCATTGATAGGTTTGTTGATATACTGAACACGGCAAAAATCCAAAATGCTCCTGATAGTCAAAAACAAAAATAGGAAGACAAAATGAACGGAAATGATCAAACTACAACGTTATTTTTTACTAATCCATTTATGTTTTGTGGTCTAATTGACCATTTTATGACCATTAGGTAAAAAATAATTTCAATTAATTATTCTTTTTTTATGTAGTCTTGGTTAGATGAAAAAGTTAGTGTCATGAGTGAGATTCGAACCCACGATGGCTAAATACGCTGCTACTCTAACCACTTGAGCTATCGGACACCAATGGGTGGGTTCAAATCCTGCTCATGACACTAACATTTTCATTTCAACAAAGACCTTACATAAAAAAAATAATAATTAATTAAAGTTATTTTTTATCTAATTTCTCTTTTTCCATTTTGGTTTTCTATGAATGATTTTATTTTATTAATACATAAAATCTATTTTTTTCAATATATTTTTCGTTTCAATGGTACCTCTGTTCTGTTATCTACCCATGTTATTTGTAAAAATATTTTATTTATATCCTTACCTAAGGTACAGACCAACATATATAATAAAGGCAGAATTATTTTCATAGGCTTGGTGCAAGGAAATATGGTTTAATTTAATTTTAAGTAAGAGTTATAGAGTCAAACAGATCTGTACACCAAAGCTTACAAGGTGGTGCATTTTTACGCACACTGTAGGTCAAACAATGCATCACCTGCGTAAGTGGATTCTGGTGCAATTTTCTAATTAAAAGAAAATTCTTGGAAAGCTCTGAATGAATTTATTTCCGGTTTTTCAATATAAAAGGTGTTAATAAATAAATTCCCTCAAACAAAAAATCACTGTATGAAAATTTAAAAAAAAAACTATGAAGTCTACTGATGAGATGGGAATGTAATGTGTATGTACTTTCATAAATTAAAAACATTTCTAAAGTGTTAATTAAAATATTATATGAGGTCAGTTTGTAAAGTTCAGACAAAAGGTAAATATTATTACAAATGAACTTGAAATCCATTGAGGTGTTTTATGACATCCCTAGATATTTATTTAACAGGCAGATGCCCTCAACCAATGTAGTGCATATACATATAAATAATACACACTGTTAGGTATACTAAACAAATACAATCTAATATACTATTATATTACCCAGAGGACATGAACTTTTCATTTGGATATCTTGATATTTATGTGGTTTTTGTTTGATTTGGCCAAAAAATTGGATTTATATCTGAAAGTAAATTCCATTTTGAAAATTGCTTTCAACAGATCTGAGTAGAATAATTGGTAGCGGTGCATTGGTGACCACAACGGTTTAGGCGTTGACACGGCACTCATCACTGTAAGGTAAAGGTCCTGGGTTCAAATCCAGCACCCCTGTATTCAAACCCGACATTCAAATGGGCTTTGTTTTTTCAAAAACACTGGTACCCCAAAGGCTCACATACCAACCATGTAATGACAAGTACACATTCATTACCCTATAAACTGTTTGAAAATATCTGACATGGCATGGCAGAAATATTGATACAAGACCTCAGGCAGCTAGCTCCTCACCATAGTTCTGTTATAAGAGTGAGTAACAACTTTGAGTCTCATGCTGAACTGGCACAGGGTCACTAACTGGGTCTATCTCCTCTCACAGGTTTTTTGAGTTATGCAAATGTGTTTCAGCATTGCTCCATCTTCAGTTAGGAACTGAAGATGACGCACTGCTGAAATGCGTTTGAAGTAAGTGACCCTGTGCCAGTTGAACATGAGTTCACCAACTTGCAGACTAAAACCCATCATCAAATTTAACTTTAAATCTGGTGAGAATGTCACTACCAGCAAGGATTGGGCGAAGAGCGCCTCTCAACTTCTTTCTCCATATCAAGTCAAAATGAACACCAATGCCCTGCTCTCAATTGTACTACTGAAAAATTCCATTTTGATGGTTGGTCGAGAAAATAAAACCTAAGATTTCCATGGCATAAATATTTCTTCATTTTATGTTTCATGCCCATTGACCCATCCTCAGCAGCCCCATTTAAGCAGGTGGTGCATTATTTTTCCTATGGTGCATTGAAAAATGCACCACCCTGTATTTTATTAAAGATCAGCAATTTTTACCATTTAGGAGGGTTAATATGATAAGGATTTCACATCAAAATATTATTTGTAAAAAACTATCAAAAATATCTTTTTAAAAAATGCTATCATTATTAGGCAATGCTTTTTGTATAATTACACACAAAAATGGTTTGTAGAACCATGCTGACCTCTATAGTTGGATATCATAGAACCAGGCTTCCTGATTACTGATGTATCAAAGCTCAACTCTGCAAATACACAAGGGTACATAGCTGAGCCTATCACTTCCTGCAATCCGCCGGCAATTACAGCTTTCACACTAATAAATACATTCAATATCTGTATTCGCAAAAAGAAATATCTTTAAAGTATCATATTCAATAAAATAGCCCTGTTTCCTCTAAAAATCGGAACAGGGGACCCTGAACTGTCGTGTTTAAACACAATTCCGTATCAGGCAGCATTCTTACAAGCTCCCTATATGGAACACATTTAGCAATCTTCCTCTGTTGGACACATATGTTTGACTGAAACATAAGTGTCCATTTGCCCCTTAATAACAAGTCGGATAATCCGAGGGCCACCTATCAACAGTGCTCTTCATCTTTGAAAGCTTCTCTGAAGATCTAGCCCATTGACTTAGTAAAAAATGGAAATGATATCATTAGCGTTGGCAAACAGCTTGGGAATAAATTGGCATAAACGTTGTGAAAATAATTTCAGTAAGATGTTTTTCAACAATTCATTCCATTCAAACTAGACATGACTAACCCATCATGCATCATTTGCCTAATTTAAAATACATAAAGATAACAAACTATAACACAGTCTTTATTTTGAAAAACAAATTTTACTCAAAGATTGAATGGAGCTTCTTAAGTTAAGATTCATATTTCATTATCTCTATGATTCACAACGTTTATATGTGATCTAATTAGCTAATTGTGTGCACTGAACAGCAAATATTTGAATGTGTATTTAAAACCTAATTTTCAATTACTCGGGTGAAGTAAAAAGCATCGGAATCAATTTTATACAGGAAAACCAATTTTAACTTAGATTATTGATGTCATGTTTAATGTTTTCCTTCCTTTTTAAACATCATTTGTCCTATTTATTATAAAAGAAAAATACGAAACGTTTGCTTCACAGGCAACATAAATAAGGCCTGTTTACATTTCTGATGGTAAAAATAGTCTTTGAAATCATAAATTCGTTTTTTAAAATAATTTTCTTTGAAATATAGGGTCATAAACACAACAGTGAACCTGGGATTAAACACCAAGTCATCGATCCTAGATTTGAATGCCCGATTTGCCTCACATGCCTGAGAGAGCCTTACCTCACTATCTGCGGCCACCGTTTTTGCCAACAGTGTATTTTAATGTGGTTGGAGTAAGTGAATATTTAAGTGTTAAAGCGTTTTTACAAAATAAACTAATTAATTTTCAAATTTCAGAAAAAAAGGCAGTGTCTGTCCAGTGGATGGGAGAGTTCTCAAAAAAGAAACAGACCTTTTTCTAGATAATTATACCAAAAGAGAAATATCTGATCAAATCATCAAATGCCCTTACCCTAATTGTAAACATATTTCCCCTTTGTTAGAGTACGAGCAACATTTATTGCAAGTCCATGAGGTAACTTGTAAATACCATAAGTTTAAATAAACTTTTATTTATTTATTATTTCCTAGATTGTGAGTCCAACTTCTTCTAAAGTCAACAATTTTCAATTTAACGGAGAGGCAAATGGCGAAGAAGAAAATGAATCGTTATGGATGTCGCCAGGGAAGTACCAGTCGAAAGCTGATGAAGCTACAAAGTTGTTAATAAAGTATGCATTGAAAAATAATATTTGAAATTGTAACTGGTTTAACGTTTGTGTTTATTTATACTATTTAAGGTCGTTGTTCGAACGGTTGGTCATATTAGAACAAAAGAGTCTGGAGCAGGAAAATCAATTGAAAACTGCTAAAGACAAAATCGCAGAAATGCAGAACGAACGGTTGAGATTCGAAGCAGAACTAGCCTTGAAAGTATGTAACGGAACGTACGTCTGGAATATTACAGATGTTAAAAGTAAAATAAGATTCATGTGTAAAGACTCCGCAAATACGTTTTACAGTGATGGATTTTACACTTCTTATACTGGATACAAGTAGGTTTTTTTTTTTTCTTGAATTGATTTTTTATTTCTTAAAATACTGTGTTTTTATAAATACATGTGTACATATTTTTTGAATCTTAATGAATGATCAACATTGTAATTTAAAGAATTGGAAATGCTCCTAACAGTCAAAAACAAAAATAGGAAAACCAAATGATCGGAAAAAAAGAAGAATCAATATTGTAATTAAACAGTTTAATTAAGTAAGCTAAGGAGGTGTCAGTGTTGAATGGGCTTCGTTTTTTCAAAAACACTGGCACCCCGAAGGCTCATATAACCTCATAGTTGAAATACCCTCGTTAAAAAAAAATCGTAATGTAATATGCTTGAGTAAAGTATGAATAAATATTGGCTTTTCATTTTGCAGTTATAACATTAAAGTTTAAACTTTTCTTTTATCTTTTATTAATTTCAGAAATAACTGAAAATTGTATCTTTTTTGCCAATGTCATTTTGTGAGATTTCCTCTTGAGATCTAATGAACTCCCAATCATTTTGGTTCGTCTGTCTTCACTGTTTTGCTATGTTTTAACTTCTCACCATCTTCAGTGGTGGGTTTGTTGATATACTGAACACAGCAAAAATTCAAATTGCTCCTGACAGTCAAAAACAAAAATAGAAAGACAAAATGATCGGAAACAACCAAACCACAACGTTATTTTTTATTTCATTTGCGCTTTTTCCTTCTTGGTTTCCATATATGAATGGATCCAGATGTGATAAAAAGTCTCTTTTTTTACAATCGCCTTTTATGACACAAACAAAAAATTGTACAATGCAACATATAAATTATGCCAATAATATAGATCTGTCAGACCCAGCTGCTAGATTGTCTGGGCCCAGCTGCTGGAACTCTGTTATTTAGTTCTGACTGCTAAAGGGTCAGGTGGTCTTGAGACAATCACCATTTTAAATGTGGAGTATGGATAGGAAGTTGAGAGGATAGTTTGGAGTGGAAATTGTGGAAATATGTTTGGATCAGATCCTCCGCAAATGGGGTTTCTCGGTCTTAGTGAATTGTTAAGTTGGTGGCCTAGAAGGAGCGTTATGGATGCAGCATAGGACTTAAGATTGGAGGATTTGGCCAGCTTGAATCCATAGCCGAAATGTTTTGTGTGTGGTTAGTTTGTTATGTATGCTTATTGTTCATACCCTTGAGTTATTGTCTTTTTAGTCTTTGTGAGTTTCAACTTCCAAGTATGCTTGCTATCTAAGTAAAGCCCAAGATAGCAGATAGGAAGGGTGACTTTGTTGTTTATGAGCATTGGTGAGCAGGTCTGACATCTCAGCATGTTGGATTTTGTAGGTTTAACTTAATCCTTCAGCAAGTGCACAAGTCTAGATTTTTTTGTATCGCTAAGGTAGGATTAGTCTGAAGATAGGCTCATGATGTAGATTATTACATGATTAGAACATGTGGGTATGTCAGCAGTGTATATTGTGCAGAAGATTGGTCCCAGGATGCTTCCTTGTGGAACACCAGCTTTGATTGGCATGATACATGAAAAATTTAAATCTGTTTTTGCTTTAAATCAACAGTTGGAGAGAGGAAGAATTAAAATTAAAGACAATTTAATTAAGGTGAATTATTTGTTTAATTTTTCCAAAATATTTGAAATATAGTAAAGACCAAGTTATTACACCTAAACTTTTCTAGGTCAGTGTGTTAGACTCACAGCTCGTAGACCCCAAAGGGGGACTGCATACCTGCCCCACTACAACAGTAAAAACCACATCTTTCACCCTTACATATTTGTGTACAAAAGGTGGCTTTTCAGAGTGCCAAGTTCTTGGGAGAATTAAAATTAAATGAGATGGCTATAGTAGGAATATGGTACACAGATGGAACTGAGAGTAGGTGTAGGTGAGCCGATCTAAACCCTAGCAAAGCCCGTTGGACTAATCCCAATAATTTTCCAAGCTGAGGTCCATGCTATACAACTCTGGGCACAGGAAGAAAATATGAAAGGTGCAGATTTACATATACTCAGACAGTCAGGCACTAAATGTGTTTGCTTTCAACTCCAAATTTGACTGGGAGTGCCTAATGGTTCTAGGAAAACACAAGATCATATTAAGTATTAAGGTGAGTCCCCGGACATGAAGGTATAGAAGGAAATGAACAAGCCGACCAACAAGCCAAAAAAGATACATTTCACCCATACAACCAGAACCATAACTAGGCGCATTGGAATGTGGGCTTAAATTGGAACTGGAAAAAATAGCTTGAGAAAGAAAAACTTAAAAGCACCAGGTGTATAGCAGCTTACTGATTTATAAATCTCTTAAAAAGGAAGTTGTAGGAACTCCTCTCTCAGCGGGCAGGGTTTGAAGAAAATTATAGGCCTCTATCCTAACCGGCCTCACTTAAAAAAGACAGGCAAAGCAAACAGAATCCCAATCTGTCAGGAGGAACCAGAGGCATCACCATCCTTTATGAATAAGAAGCATTAGCCTGGTTCCGATACACCCACTTCTGAGAGGCAATTCTCAAACAAAATGAGGTGTGTGAAGGGCACCAAGTAGTCTTTTAAGAAAAAATGTATTTTCAAAGATATGGTTATAATTTGTAAGGGTTCCACAATAGATCCATGTAGGTCACAGTGTAGGAAAGGATTTTTAAAATTCTTATTCAACCCCTACCCAAACAAAAAAAAAAAAAAAAAAAAAAAAAAAAAGACCACACAGTCATAGGTTCAATTTTCACTGTCGCCCATGGCCTTTTTTTCACACTCCCTTTTTAGTGAAAAACTATATATGATGAAACAAACATACATGTACTCTTACTAATATGTAAATCATAAAGGCACTAAAAAAAATATTAATCTATAATCCCATGTTTAACAACCTGTTTTTCATATTAATCATTATAATTTTAAAATAATTAATTTTGTCTCATTTAAGATTTTGTGCTCGGATTTACGTCACCCCCCAGCAGAAATACCTTTCCCTGTGGACTCATATCATGAAAGGCGACAATGACCATACACTCTCCTGGCCGTTTTCTGGCAGGATCTGCTTTACTCTGATCCACCCGACGAAACCGGAGAATTCGCTGAGGGAAAAGATGTGCTCCAGGCCTGACGTTGAAGCTTTCAAACGGCCGAAGAACACTATAAACATGAGAGGGTTCGGCTATAACGAATTCATTTCACTGAGCGACCTCACGTCCCAAGAGTTCCTGAACGAAAGCGACACACTGAACATTAAGATTCAGATAAACGTCGTTTAATCAGCATTCTGCACATGTTTTATTTTTATATCGAGTCTTTTGTGTTCTATTCTAGTTTTAAATGTTTAAGTTTTGACTGATTAACGCACATTTTGTGTAAAAATACATTCCTGTAATTTCTAGTGCAAATACTGTTTGCTCATAGCAAAATGAATATTCCGTCCATAAAAAATTGTTAAGTAATTATTCTCAATCACAATGGATCTCAATAGACCAGTGATAAAAATTGTTGTAAGAGTTTATTTTAATATGGAAATTTTATATTATGTTTTATTTGTTTTTAAACTATTTTTGGTTTATTTTTTTGGTGTGGCACAAAATTTTGTTTAAGTGATCAAACTTAAGTTATTTAGATATAAATTTAATGTTATAATTTATTTTCATTTTAAATAAAATGTCATCTTGCCTTAAATTGTTACTTTGAAAAACTACCTCATAACCTAAAACTCTAATTTAAAATGGGCTGCATCAACAAAGAAGCTTTTGTATATCAAGAGCACTGTCAATAGGTGGCCCTCAGAGGACACAATTTGTAGTGGTCCTTACCTGATTAAGGATAGGCCATGCAAGGTTGACAATGGACACTTTTGGATCAAATCCTATGTACATGTCCATTCCAGAGAAAGATTGCTTGATGTGTCTCACCGAATTGAAGGCTGCAATTCCTTGGAGGACCGAGGATGGTAGTGTTGGGTCCTTTTATGATATACGGACACGGTCTGTGTGGAATATCAAGTACCCACATATCGTTGTACTAATTAGGTTAACTTAATGAATGTATGATTTTTGCTGTGGGTGAATGCATTTATTAGTGCGAAAGGTGTCAAGGTGAAAATCACCTTGCTGGTCTCCCAACCATAGGTTTAGGTTGTACATAATTTTAGTGTGGACGTAGAGGTCTCAGCACTATACCAAGAACTATTAAAAACTAACTAACCCACCAAACTTAGGTTAGGTAATTTTTTTATTTAAATAACATGAATGTGTATTTTAATTGACTATGGATATTTTAATGTGTGGAACGGTTAAACATCAAAATAACATGAGGAGCCGTCAACAACCCCTAGCTATTAGCAGGCAAAAAGAAAAAAAGTGTTAAGTAATTTTATTTTTGCCAACATTTCCAAACATTTGGTCCCATACTTCAGGAAAATTCAGGAATAAAATCAAATCTGTAAAAAAAAAAATTGATCTAATAACTATGATTTTTTTTAAATGAATCAAATAAATAGTTATTTAAAAACAATAAAATTTATTTGTTGTATCCAATAAACAGAAACTGTATTATTCTTCATCAGAATCTGACATCTCCGCTTCCTCGAGCCATTTGACAAAAGGTTGCACCTGGACAGAAATTGCATTTATAAGAATTTTTCAACAAAGCACAGAAAGACAATCGGTACATACACGTTTGCGGACTTCCATTTCCGATTCGCTACCTGACCGTGGGTTGCCGTACCATTTCAATACAGATTCCTCACTGAGGATGTCTTTGTTGTATAACAAATGGATCAACTTCATAACTACACTTCTCAACTCGGGGTACATTTCTGCCACATCCTACAAAATAGATTTTCCTGAAATTACCTTTTTTGACATAATTTTCTCTTTATAGTCATTTTAACGCAAGTATGCAATTGTCAGGCCTATAACTACCATATTTTTGATTTCTACCATATTTTCTTTTTCAACTTGCCCAAATAAGATCTAATCAAATAAGTAAATAAATTTTGGTTTTTCCAATTGTCTTTATTTATTTTTTTATTTTTTATTTTTTTTTTTTGACTAGGATAATTGAACTACGATAAAATAATTGATAGTTATGGCTTTGTATACCTCAATTGCAACGAGACAATCCTCCATTGCGTTTTCATTCCTCATGTAATTTACAAGGAGAGGCGTGAAATACTTGAGCTTGGAGGCGACCATCTCCCAGCTGAAGTCGTCCTTGATCATCAGCACAGCTTTAACGACGTAATAGTTGACTTCGTTGACCGTTACGTTATAAGCGTACCTTGACGAATTGACTTCGAGCACAAGATTGTCACAGGGCACTTTCTCTTCAAACCCTCTAAGAAGTGAATCGATTACCTCACTGTAGAATACTACAAAAATAAAGAATTATATAGAAAATATTGGTTTTGTTTTTAATTTAATATAATGTTGTCATTTTGTTCAAAAAAAGTTAATAGTTTGAATCTGGGTAGAAAAACTAAAATTTAACTTGCCCTTGGAGTAACAAGAATATACATAGCTTTATTTCCAAAGCAAACAAAAATTTTACAGCTTTTTTGTTTTGAAATGAAATTTGTATGTTTTCATAGGAAAAAAATGCAGGGACAGCTATCCAGCAGTCTAGTAAATTAAATATAATGTCTCAATACAACACAACTTAAAAATAAAAAACATTGAGGGGAGGATAGATAGACAGACACTGCAAAGTAATAAAATTTTCTGCCAATATACGGTACAAATGTGCATATATATAATTTTTTTAAAAGTTAGCTAAAATTAAAGGGAAATTGAACTTAAACGGTTCTCATTAGAACAAAAAGGATCAACTAAATGGAAGAATAGTTATTAGAAGAAAAAAAACACAAATATTCATATAAAACATCAGTCTATTTCATTTCTCAAAAATAAATCTATAAATAATTAACGTTCAAATCAAAATATTTTTAATATTAAATACTGTCAAAAATTTAAAAAAATAATAAATATTAATAAACTACATACTGTTGTTTATACGGGATATAAACAATTTCAGAGCAAGGAGGCGAGGGAAGGAGGAAAAGGACAAGCATGCTGACTAAGTTTGTTTTTAAACATATAACAAAAGTAAAGAGAATAATACATAAAATTAAAAAGGAAGCTACTATAGTAAATAAATAATTACGATTGGTACGATTTGTGTCATCGGATATGACTGAGCCCTGTTCCGATTCGTCCTCGCTGTCAAGAGATTCTTCCTCGCTTACAACGTCAGTGATTTGTTTCATAAAAAGCCCTTTCCATTCGTCGCCGGGTACATCTGAGTCCGAGTCAGAGCTTTCTTGCTCAGGTTTGTAAACAAAAGCTTTTGGCCCGTAAGATTCACCTGAATAAAAATTACCGTGAGATGATACAATTTTTAAGTTTAAAAGAAGTCACACACACCCGAGGACGGTGTGCTTTGCAGCCTCAGATTTTCAACAGTTGTACCATTTTCTAGAATTACGCCAGGTCCGAGTATACACTTTTTGACAATGACACCAGGTCTCAGTATACAGCCCTCACCTAAGACACAATAGTCCACCTCGCACGATTCCTAAAAGTTATATCATAAAATAAAATATTTTCAAAATATGTTACAGTGAAACCCCTCTACAACAAACACGCAAGAAAAGTGTTTTCGTCTGTTATTGAGGGGTGCCCTATCAGAGAGGATTTAAATAGCTTTTTTTTCAATCAAGATAAATATTATGTTGTACATAGTACACAATACATAATATTTTATATGTTTCAATGAATATTATAAATAAATAAAAACATATAGGTTCACAATTAAAGAATAAAAAATAAACAATTGATCTTTCAAAGGGACCAGGTGATCAGGTGGTGGGTCACGGATTTGGACTAAACTTTTTTTGGTGATTCTACACTTCAAAATATTGGACCACTACCCGCTACTTCTTGTGAATAAGCAGTGGTTTCACACAAAAAATTTGAAAGTTGAAATTTTTCCATTTTTGAATATTTTTATTTCTCCGTTCTAGTTGCTTACTTCAACTATGTGAATACATCATTTTGAGCATTTATGTTGATTGCAATAAAAATATAGCAAAAGTTATCAAAGTTTATCAATAACCAAAAAATTAATGAAACCAAATATTTTTCAAGTAAACTACATACGTCATAAAAACTTCTTTCTGTGAAACTAATAAGAAATTTTGTTTTATGATCTCTACAGATCCCTAACTAAAATTTTGCTTGAATTTAAATGTACCCATTTTTTTGACCCCTAAACTTTGAGATATTTGAGAAGTTGTTATCTGTGGTTAAACCCAGGCCTATTCTCAAAAAGTGGCGGATACGCGTCCAATATTTTGGAGTGTATAATCACTAATAAAAGTTTTGTCCAGTCCGTGACCCAACCTGGTCATCTCCTTGTTAGTCCTTTTTTAAACTTAGATAAAAACATTTTGTGCATTCTTAATTTGTTCACCATGGCAATTCATTTTTCATTTTCCTTATCTTTATACCCGAGCTCCTAAATCACTAAAATTTTGTGTAAAGCCAATGAAGTGGGGTAACACAATACAGTTGGGACTTGAGAACCAAGATAAACCCTTTTGGGAGCCCTAATTTCCACCAATCAAAATGAACCATTTTATAGCAGGAGGGCAAGAATTTTTGGTACCTCAGTGAAAGAGAAGCATTTTTTTTTGGGGGGGGGAAAGGCACTTCCAAAGAAAAAAAATAGGACTTAGGAAAGGGCAAAGAATTTTCTACCAGTTGCGTCAAAACATAAAATGTAAACAAAACTGTTTTTATTATTTTCTAGTCAAGAATTACCCACAATTTTTGAATTTCAAAAAAATTTATAATAATCGTAACAATATTTTTTCATATGCACATTTAATAATGTATTTTTTACGGTTTCCATTCTAGTGAGATGAATTACTCTGAATTACTGACAGCAGTGCCTGCGGCCATTAGGGAGGGGTTTGAATTGTACAGAAATCCTATCTTTTTTGCCAAGGAATGCAAAAATTGTCCTTTAAGAGAGATAGTCACTATAGAGCCTGTTAAGAAGGGTTTCACTTACTGCAAAAAATGGGAAAAACAAAATTATTCTAAAATTAATTAATATTAACTTTTCCATCCTTTTTTTTTATCATATCCAAGTTGGGGGACTTTTAGTTCAACTTAAAGTGTAATTTTAAAAAAAATTAAATAGTTCAATTATTACAGTCAGCAAAATTGATTCAACTTACTTGAACGTTAACATTGGAAAACAAATGAGAATTCGTAACAACCGCTTTTTCACCAATCTGACACCTTTTTCCTATCACGGATGTCCTTATTTCTGCACACTCGTTCAAGACGCACCCTTCTCCAACCACAACATCTTCCACCAGGTGGCAATTTCTAAAATTAACCGATGCTTTAAAGTTTCAAATTCCACAAAAAAATTTGCCGGTATACTTTGCAAGAGTCACTTTATCCTGAAGATAAACATTATTCCTTTTGTAGATATAACAGTCTTCTATGCAACAGTCAGGAACAAGTGGGAAGGTCCATCTGTGTATCACATCATGGCTGAAATATTTTACAAAATTAATTCACATCAAAGTTTAAACAATTTAATTGATATTTATTGAAAGTAAAAGCGATTTTTCATCTTACGATACCTACCTAATATAATGATAATTAGGCCAGGATGTCACACTTGCCGCATACTCATTGTTTGGCAAAATATAAGAGTAAACTGTGCTCGCAAGGATTTCTTCATTCATCAGAAGCCCTTTTACAAAATCATCTCTAGTCTGGAAGTCAAAGTTGTCAGAGAAAAGTGGTGGGACGGTTACAGAGCATATGCTAATTTTTGTATCAAGGAGATCGCATCTGATATCAACATCAGATTGATCTAATAAAATTTCCTGTAAAAAAAAAAAATTATATGAAGCGAAAAACTTATATATTTCTCTTCATACCACTCCTATTCCTATTTTTTTCAAATCGGTTTGCCTTTGGTGCAACAAAATCCGATCCGTGTTACTATCGATGGCGAGAAAAGCTTGATCGTTTTCACTCCTCATCTTTTTCCCACATTCTTTATAAATAAGTGTCATTGAAGCCCCTTTGTCCAACTTTTGTATTTGCCTAGACAAAATTAATTGGTGGCTTGTCGAATTAAAGAAACACGATATAAATAATAGTACCATACTTGTGGCGCTCGATCACGGGTAGAAGTTTAAGGTTCCCTACGACATCACCGGTAAGCAGTACAAAGTCCCCTCTGATCACAGCCTTTGCATCAAGGTCCCTCATGGCATCTCCGAATGAGTAGCAACCGTCAGATACAATAACATTTACGACCATCCTACCCCACCGTTTGCCCCTGGAAAATCAAAACACTCACTCGAACTTTAATTACCTTTAAGTATCACAATACTCACTTGACAAAGTTTTTTATCTGGTCCGTATTCAACGTGCAAAACATAATAGTCTCCTGCACTCCTGCTAATGAGAGACAATGCAGGGTATAGTCAAGCAGAGGTCGATTTACCAGTGGCATCATACACTGTAAAAAATACAAAATATTTTAACTGATTGGGTTGTGGAATCCATTATGCTTGTTAAAAATTATGTGACAGTACTGTCATTATTATTAATAAATTAGAATATAGAGCAACAGAGGACAAATACAACTCTAAGAACCAAGTGTACTTGAGTTATATTAATTTATTTCATAGATTTTTGGCTGAATCTCGTTAAATTAAAGGGAGTGAATCAGGAGAGTTGTGAGGCATGAGTAAAAACCTAGCATAATATAATAATTTTCTTTTTATTATTTCCATGACAGGTCCTTTGTCCGACCCTCTCATTGTGCTCCTGTTGGAGAAATACTATGAATTGGAGCACATCACCAAAATAGTGATTATCGTCTAGGTTTCTAAACACATAGGTTTGGGTTGTCTGGGTTCCCAAACACATAGGTTTGGAGAGTAATGAAAACGTGAATGAAGTAACGAAAATCAGGGCCGTGCCAACATACAGACTTAACCACTGCAACTTGGCTCTCTGTCGCTAAAAATTCGTTAAAAACACGAATACAAGAATGTGGCAGCATCGGTTGGCCAGATTGGCAGAGAAGCTCTCAATATCAAAAGCACTGTTCATAGGTGACCCTCAGAGGCTATTGACATAAAAGGATCCAACCCGACTTCTCCCCAAGGCTGATGCCACGACCCAATCAATCCACCGTTTTCTAATAGACAATAAATTCGTAAATTGGTAGGCTCCATCTGTTTAAGAATATGACATGCAAGGTTGATACACAATTTGTTTTATTGTTTAAAGTAATGATAGTTTTGTGACCCTGGCGTATTTTGAGAGTGAATGTATTTATTGATGTGAATGAATCCGGCCTTCCGACACTAAAAATGCAATAAAAAAAAACACGATTAAAAGAATGTGGAAGGATCTGCAGAGAAGCTTTCATGTATCAAGAGGACTGTCGATAGGTAACCCTCGGAGGACCTGACTCATACAAGGTGGGTCCTCACTCGGATTAAGTATAGGCTATGCGAGGTTGACACACAAACACTTACTTTTAGGCCAAAGCCCACGTTTATGTCTGACAAGAAAGAATTAAAGGGTGCAATCCTTGGCTCCATATAGAGAGCGCATAGCGCATAAGAATGCAACCAGATATGAGAATTGTGCTTGAGCGAAGCAGTGAGTTTCTGGATCCTGTGTGCTGATTTTTGGATGAAACAGGGCTGTTTTACTGCCTATAGTTTTGATTTTATGTATACTAAGATTAAAGGTATTTATTAGCTTGAATGTGTAATGTGAAATGGCCAATGGCAAAATATTGAGCCTTAATTAAATAGTTATGGAATGGATGGAGGAATATCATGTTCTCTACCACCATAATTGACTGAATGGCAGATTAATGTAAGAACATGTTTAAGTGTGAGTGAGAGGGTTAGAATTGAGAAACTGATGAATTGGGAGGCTGACATGACCTAGCAGTTGATAGCCCCTGGAGCCCAACCTCAGTGACAGGACAGAAAGGACCGCGACCTGACCCTGGACTACCAAAACCCAAGATGGGTGATTCTCGAGGCCTCTATTACCTTTCTCTTAATTGTTTAAAAACTGCACTACAGCTTAACTTTAGACAACCCATCCCAGCTATAAATGATCAGACTCACAAACCTTAAACCTTACCTAGTAAAGTTTAGGCTGGTCTCACACTGGAACCGATTATGTGTGAGATGCCAAATTGTAATAGACATCGGAGCTCTTCGTCGAGTAGTGGTTGTTATGGCTGGCATCAATTTGGAATGATATTTTTTGTTTTTTAATATTTTAAAAACCATTTTGTCAATTAAAAGTCAATTAATTTTTCTGTGTCTTTAGCTACTCATGAAAAATCAATCAGCTTAACAATTTCACATCAAAAAGTGCCTCTGGGAGAAGAAATCTGCGAACTGCATAAATTTGCATGAATACATTGTTTCGCAGTCCACCCAGTGGATGTGAGGCCTTGGGTCATCCGTCAAATGAAAAAATCCCACCTTGCTAGGGCCGAGTAGCAGGTTTGAACTAAACATTCGCACAATACAGTTAGTTCCAGTGTGAGAGGGCTGATTACATTCCCACATTGAGAAAGTTTGTGCAAAGTTGGGTGAATATGGACGATCAAAAATCGGATGTGGTCGGTTCCTGAAAGCAGCCTTAAATCGCAGGATTTTCTCTTGTAGTCTGCAAGTTGATGAACCTACTTTGGTAATTAAGGTTTTCCATTCTTACTGTTTCCAATTTGGTTAAATGTGTCTGACAAACCAAACAGACCGAATTGATCAGAAACTATCTTTCACTTCTTTGTGTTAGGTAGAATCTCTATAATGGTGCTTCTCTTATCTGACCTAACAACGAATACCAGCTAGGACATTTCAGCCCCATTTTAAACACCACCCTATCGCAACATGCTACTAGAGCAAAACGACAAACTAAACAGAAAAGTAAACTAAAAATTAAAAAACAAATGTAAAGTGTTGGCATGCCTGTCGCTCTCTATATAGAACCAAAGCATGGCTTCAGCTAGTGCAGGTATTGACCAGCAAACCAAGAAGTCCTAAGTTGCTGTACTCACAGGCACGTCTGTCACTGGAAGAAAATCATTGCCGTAGCAATCGGCGATTATCACAGCTTGGACGACGCTCTCCTTCTGCACATCGACCACCGTCTTGACGGCCTTCTTCGCCATGATCCCTAAACAAGTCCTGAACACTGCAGAATCAAAAGAAACGTGCAATCCTCAACGTTTCATCCAACAAAACAAATAAACCTCCCTGAACCTTGTGCAAGCCGGAAACAAGCATCGATGTACATCAAAATTTATTGAACAAGAAATGAAAATTGTATCGATTTTGATTTAATAAGTTAAAATTTGGGTTCATAAATATTTTCTTAATCAAAACACTTCTTTTTTTTTCATTCCAAAACAACTTTCTTAAGTAGTTGTTAAAATTTTTTTGTACAATAAATCCAATTTCTCCTATTTATCAATATTATTCTGATATATCGATATTTAGAGCAGTACAATATCGTGCAATTGACACTATTTTCAAACAAATTATACCAATTAAATTCCAATGTGTGTCCATCGGAAATAAGTGAGATTATACATTCAGTAACTAGTATTGCAAGAATGGCTAGTAATAAAAAAACAACCGAAGTATAATAAGTAAAGACTTAAAAGAGATAAAATGTGATATAAAATAAAATCTATTGACGGAAGGAAACTTTGTCCAATTGGTCCTGATGCCATTCCTGCAATACTATAGTAGAAATTATAAAGGTGGGGTGTGTAAATTCACTTTTTAAGTGATGGGTTCTACTGATAGAATTTGTTTTAAATATCCATCATTTACAAAAAGTTCCTGAAATACTTTTTAAAAACCATCTATCGCTCTCAGTTCTAGCCTGCTACGAAGAAATGCTATATCTACCGTTTTGATTTTTGAGAAATTGAGCTTTGAAGCTTTTCATGCTGAATGGCATCAGATAAGTTGACATATTGTTTTAAACGTTTTTGGCCGCATATATAAAACAAGTGTTTTTGGACGGTATTTTGTTAACTTTTTGTCCTCGACTGTTTTTAGCGAACTGTAGTTAGTAGTTACTTATATGGCAGATGACTAACTCCCTGATTTCCAGTATTTTTACATAACTGTGGGTACAGCTATATATAGAGTAATTAGATTTTACCCGTGACTTCGTTCATGCAGACTTCTGTTTTAAAGTACCTTTCTAATGCGATGCAGAGTGCTAGTACGGTTTTCTAATATAATGTCTCGTTCCTCAAATTTTTCTCTTCTTCAGTTCACTTCGATCTATCCGTGGTAAAAATTGTCCATTAGGGATGGAATTTCAAAAAAACTTTTCTTAGCGGCTATTCATGTTATTATAGGAATGCGCTGTCGAAATTTCAGCCCTTTAGGTCTAGCGGTTTGGTTAAACGAAGTCCCGGGTAAAAGCTAGTAACTCTATAAATCTATACACATAGTTATTGAAAAATACTGGAAATCAGGGAGTTAGTCATCTGCCATATAAGTAACTACTAACTGTAAATTCATTAAAAACAGTCACCCTACTTTATCGAGGAGAAAACGTTAACGCAAAAACCGCCCAAAAACACGTTTTAGATATGCGGGACACCCTGAATAAAAATTTTAATAATCGTTGTACAACGGTATTTTCGATACCTCTACGGTGTATCAAAGGACGAAATTCTGATACCAGTATCGATATCTTTTCTATTTCCCTTTCCGTGTTTCCGTATCCCAAGGAATAACCTTCCTTATCTACATGCTTAATTCTTCAGTCTTCGAAGTTATCCGATTGAAGGTTAACTTTGACTATTTTTCGTTCGGTTATCAATCTAATTTTTTTCCTTCTAAAGGAATTTGCCCATTTTTTTTCGAATGAGGATGATGTGATAACCGCTTATTTCGGTATTTTCCGAATTTAGGAAAATGTTCTGTTTGCGTTCTCTAAGCCGTGCCGTTGGGCCGAGCCGGCTGCGAAGGACCTTCATGTCGGAAGGATTCGCTTGCGCTGAAGCGTGGGAGAAACGCTTCGAGAACCGGCTCCTCTCCAAAGTCAACCTGGAAGAAATGTACTGCGACTTGGAGAATAAACTGAATCACAAACGACCGGTGACTGCGGTCGACGTCGACATCTTCGCCAACTCGATCCGTTCCTCATCCCACATCCAGGAACTGGAAGAGCTCGTCCACAGATTCAGGCAGACGGCCCGAACCGTGGACACTCTCGAGTCCACACACCATGCCGTGGTCAGGGCACTTCACAGGTACGATTCATCGGATTTCTAATCCTATAGCCTAAGCCCGGCGCCACACTAGACGATTGCGACGGAAGTTTCCGCTGCACAAGCTTACATTCAAAACAGCGACAGACTGAACGGAAATTTCCGTCGAGCTCCGTTGGTGCACCATTGTCCGTCAATGAAATGTTCCGCTGGGTTTTATCTGAACAGATAAAAACAGCGCAAAGTAAAGGGGGTGCGCCACACTAATGACAGACAAGCATAGAACGGAAGAGGCAGGCAATGAACTTCAAGTGAAGCTGATCTAAGATGGACGTGGACCAATTTATTGTAGAAGTTCAGAACAGGCCCTGTCTATGGAATTTGAAAGACGCTCGCCAAATCAAGCTATAATCATCCCATAGTATTAGAAGAACTTGACAGATCGAAGTTCCCTATAGAGACAGTAGAATTGACCAAGTGCTACCCTTTTCATATTCAATGGATGAATCCAATGTTCTCTCTTTCTCATCCACTTCTCCATTGTCTTGTAATACACAGAACGAAAGGTTTCATTGTTCCATACACGATCAACTGAGTCACGTTATCGAACTGAATATTCAAACAGTTGTAGTCATTCGGTTCATGTGGCTTGTTCAGGTTGGGCGGATTTTTCGTCGTGGAAACTTATGTTGAATTCCATCTAGTGTGGTGTCGGCCTAATGGTATGTGCAGAGGATTGCGAAGAGCAATCATACGCATAAATGCAGATTGAGAAGCCAAATGAAGATCCACCATCTCTATCAAGAGTGTAGTTGCCATGTGGTGTCTTTGTTTTCTTCATTCTGATCCTTGTATAGCCTTGTATATTCAGTTCAAACTGCCCTTTATACAATTAGATGTAAATAATGCAAATAATGAAATTTTTGTAAATAAAATAAATAAATTACCTTAAAAGGGTTGTAAAGGACAGGCTGTGTGGGGTTTTATCAGCCAAGTGTGCATTATTTTTGATGGGTTTCTGTGTTAATCATTTAATACACTGAAAGACAAATTTAACGCACCTCTCAATTTATTTATTTGAAAATTAAATATATTGTCTTCCTACATTAGGTGCAGGTAATTAGGAGCTATCTTACCCAAAATAAACTGTAAATAAGGTTTTGTTGCATTCGCACAAAAAGTAGCATCATGCTCTATATTGCATCCTTTTGAAATAACTCTTGAAGTTCTAATCATCTGACGCTATTACATGAGCCTATGTATAACTTGATCTTTTTTCTATCTTGACGATTATTTATAGTTTTAGGTTTCGTGTGGGCAAAATCCTAGAACAACTGCTTAAACACATTCCCCCATCTTTCATTCATACAATCTTATTCCCGATCACCAGTTTGGGTTCAGAAGATCTCATTCCACTATTCTGCATTGCCATCCTATTGTAGACATCATCGCTCTTGAGCAAAAGGAGTACTGCTCTAGTACATCCTAGATATGAAGCAAGCTATCAATTGGATACTTTTACCTACTACCCATCCTAAAATCTTACCTAACCAATAGTTATTTTATCAGCTGGCTATCGCACATATGCAAAGTACCAGGAGGAAGTATCTTCGGCCCCATCCTCTACACAGTATACACTGCATACAACATACAAAAATGTGAACATGTCACTTTCACACTTTGGAGAATAACACTTACAATGCTCCCATTTGCTACATTAGTATCCCTTTTGCACCATCTAATATAGTCCGCTATCTTGGACTACATAGTGACACAGAGGATACAGGGAACCTACACCCGACTAAAAAGAAAAGAGCTAAACAACCTCTACAGACTTCTTAAAAGAATGTTGGAAAAACAATCAAACGACTTTGCAAAACAAATGACTGAGTGACAATAAAAGAGATTTATGCTGACACATAAGAGTGACTTTCAATGAGTAGTTCCTTTTTTCTTATTTATGTACTTTTTTGTATTCGTTTTGTGTTGTGTTTTAAGATATCAAATTTACTTTAGCGTAGCAATTGGTGCTGGTGTAATTTAATAAATTTAAAAAAATAGGAACTACAGGGTTTTATAACATCTTCAGGTCTGGAATCAATGTAGTTCTCATGGCTTCAGTTATAATCAGGCCTGCCATCTTTTGAATATTGTATGTCGATCAGTGTTTGATTTGCCTTATCATCAGGCAAACATTTATGATTATTAATCTTGCACTTTCATTTATCATAATTAACAAGTGTAACTGATCCGTAGGTACGCAGACACAGAAGATCTTATGCGAGTTCTCAATGATCGGCTCAACTATGGCATATTCCCCGATGACTACTGCCTTATATTCTTGATGGACGGGTTTATAAAAAAGGGTGATTTTAAAAACGCCGCAAAGGTTGCATCTCTGTCCATGCTTCAGGAGAACTTTGAGAATAAACTGGTTAATCATCTTGCGCTCTACAGTTGTCACAAGTACCTGCTTGATCCGGTTGAATGGCATCAGACTGTTGAGGAGAAGAATGAAGAAGAAGACGACGAGGAAGAGAAGTGGGTACGTGTCAAGTACTTGAGGAACCCTTTTTTTGATGACCACTTCGATCTCAATGATGCTAACAGCTTAGTAGGAAAAACGTTGTTACTAGTTGGGAAGGAAGTCGATGATGTAAGCCATCAAATCTTAGGCGCAGTTCTCTACAAGAAGTACGACACGGCAAAACAGCTCATTAAAGAAGTAATTGACAGCAAAGGCAGAGTTTATGAAGTCTGTTTAAATCTAGCTTTAAACGCATTAAAGTCTTTACCTGTTGAAGAAGGTGAAGCAGGGGAGAAGAGTAAAGAATTAATAGCATCGATGACATCAGAAATAGAAAATTTAAAAAGCAAAGCTGTTAATACTGAAGACCCCCTTATTAAAATAGAGGAAGAAATTAAAAAGCTCGTCAAACAATCAGAATCCGAGCTTATATCGAAACAAAAAGAGGTAACTTGGTTTAGAAATAAGTTTTAAACAAAATATGCTAAAAACACTATTTGGAAAATATTAACGTATATTAACAATTTACAACGTATACTAACAATTTATAAGAAATTGCAGTAGTTTTAAAATATAAATAAATAAAAGTTTACCATGTTTAAATATTATAATTTATTACTTTTATTTTGTAGACTTATGACAAATGGGAAACAGTGCGTGAAGAAGTTCTAATGGACGAACTAAAAGAGATCAAAAGGCAGTCCAGATTAAAAGAAGTCGAGAGGAGAAAGGAAGAGCTCACTTTGAAGGAACAGAAACTGTTCTTTTTTGATAATGAAGATAAAATTGATATGGCCATAGAAAACAAAAAAGTTGTTTATCCAAAGAAGTGGCATGGTAAGAAAAAGAAGAAGAAATCAGACTCAGAGGGCTATATTCCCCCTGAAATCGTTAAACAGTATAAATCTTCTCCTTAGATAAATAATTTTTAACTAGTCTGTACAGTTTGGATTTGAATTTTTATTATTTTCCTCTTTAAATAAATTTGTTTTTGAGTATATTGAATATTTACTGTTCCTTTTGAGAATTAAATTAAATTTTATCATACATTAAAGATGCTTAACATTGCAATAAAAAATTTAAATGTTTATACAAGATTTTTATAATGTCAGGTTGATAAGCTTGTTTATGTATTGTACATTACTATTGAAACAATTACCAAACTTATACAACATTGGTCCAATCGCCAAATTTGGTAAGTGATGATTGATTAGCAAGTTTTGTGTAAACCATTTAAAATTAGGTTAGGTAGGTTCATTAACGTTTGTACCATCACAAGTACAAACCATCAACAACCTGGCGGGAGCATATGCAGTCGAGTTTTGGCAAATCTTGTTATCTTGTTACAAAATACAAACCCAAACTTGAACTGACAGTCGGCTGGTCCCCATCACATTTGTAAGCCAGGTTTAGGTGATTGGTTTTTCACTGTCAGATCAGAACAGTGCGAGGATTTTACTAGAGACTGGTAGTCGTGACATGCGCAGATGTCACATTCGCTCTCGTCAGATCACAAAATGCTTACTTAACTAGGGACCAGATTTATATATCAAATAAAGTATAAAATAAAAAATAAACTAGAAACATTTAGCTATGCATTTTTTAAAAGAATTTTTTAATTTATCCATATTTGTTGAAAAATCTAATGAAAGGTTAATAAAACAGAAAATAAACCTTTAATTTTCAAATTATTTAAAGTAACATACATTTTTAAATTCTTGTAAATAAAAATATCTTTCAAGTGCTAAACAAAATTCTATAAAATGAAAATGCATTTTTTTTGTGTTAGGGAATTATACTAGTGTGTAATTTATATTATGTTGGTGGTTTAATATATGGTTTTAAAATGGTTTAATATAAATGTATACAATATAGTATAAAAACAAAGGATCAGCAATTACATGTATCGTAACTTATATGCTTATATAAACATATAAACAAAAAATATAAACTGTAGACAAACATAAATTAATAATATATATAAACCAATATATCTACAGAGAAAAGTCATTAATTATACATTTATATTCAACCTTTTTTGTACATTGCATTTTTCTTTGTATAATAATTTTTGTTTAATACATGAAATTATATGAATATGATTACTCTTGTATAATTACTTAATATTTAAAAAAAGTTTTTATTTTTTAGATTTTTTTGCACTAGAAAGTCTTTTTTTCTGCGAAAATGTAAACGTACATTATTTCAAATAGATTTGAAAATTAAAAGTTTTTCCTTTTTTAAGTGCTGCAGTCCCAGAACTAATTACTGCTAGCAGTCTGAGATGTTATTCTAATATGTTAAGGTATGAGGAGATCACACAAATTGAAACAGAAAAAAGAAGGCTAGAGGTCAAAAGTCCGAGATTGGAAAAAAAAGCATTCCCTCAGAGTTAAGAGTTAATCCCCGACCGCATCTCACGATATCTGAATTATTAAGAGTTAATGTTTGGGGGTGCACAGTAAATCATTGCTTAGTTGACAACTGGCTTGTAATTGTATTTTAAAATTTAAAAACAGTCTAAACTTCCTTAGTTATCAGTCTATTTCTATATTGGTAGGAAAACAGAGAAAAAAAAATGGCCACCCTTAATATTTTTAACTATCTCTTAGACAATCTTCTTATCTTGCGACAATATTTTGTCCATTTTAACAGATTAGACATAAATAAAACATAAAATCTCGCACTTGTGTTGGATTTTGTAAATAAATGTTTGAATATTCTTTGTTGGTTTTTCTGTAAAGCTTCTTAAAAACACTCCAGTGGCTTGATTTTTTGGTTTTTAATTCTAATAACATTTTTAAATTTCAAATTTGTTTGAGTGATGGTTTTAAGTGATACAGATTCAGTTGGAATGAAAACTGTTGAAAGATGGAAAAAGTCTAGCATATGGGGGGGGGGTCATGGTTGCTTCCTTTACATTCCCAGAACAACTTATCCAAAGAATCTTTCATCACTACCAAGATACTGGAGGTTACTCAAGAAGGCATGTATCGTCGTCGCATCACACCTAGGAGAGGTGATCATTTTATTGTTTCAAATGTACTCTCTATAATTTACATTCTACCGCTGTTGAGATCAAGTAATGACTTAAACAAATTAGAAAGGTTAATTTACGCACTGTAAGGGGAAGACTTTTAGAAGCTAGATTTGTGCGAGAAAGCCTGCCTCTGGTCCAATACTAATAACAAGACACATAACAGCTCAGTTAAGTTTAGCAAGAAATCACTTTCAATTGGTCTGAGTAAGATTGGTCTAAAATCTTCTTTTTGGATTAGTCAAGGTATTGTTTGAGGTCTTCTGACACCAAGAGAAGATTTGGAGAAGAACAGGAGAGTGAAATATCCCCACAACATTTACACTCCGAAGAAGCCACAGAGGAGGTGGTGTTATGGTTTGGGCATGCATTTCTATGTAAGATCTCACAAACTTGATCTTTATCGAAGGTTCCCTAACAAGTCCACGATATATTGAAGATAGGTTATCAGAAGAAGTGGTTATATGCCACTAATTGGTGATCATTTTATTTTTATGCAAAGCAAAGCAATGCCCTGCACAGCTAGTATCATTGGTGACTACTAGGAACAGGCTTCAATTCAATGTTTGGAGAGACCAGCATGTAATCCCGTCTAAGACCTATTGAACACCTTTGGGACAAGTTATCAAAGAGAATAAAAAGTCATCCAGTGATGCCAAAGAATTTGCATAAATTAAGAATAGAGCTGTTGGAGGAGTATGAACATATTCCACAGCACATTCAAAACCATAAAATCATTGCCTCGATGAATGCAAGCACTGATCAATGCAAGAGGAGGAAATACTTTATACTGACTTATTCCTTGGCTCTATGTATAGGAATGCCACATTATATGAAAATTGTGCTTGAGCAGTGAAATGTCTGGTTCCGATTTTCGGAAAAAACCGGGTTGTTCATTGTATATAATACTGACAGTTCTGTGTTCCTAGAGTGAGTTGAAAACGAATGTATTTATTGGCGTGAATTTGTAAGGTGATAGGCGGAATATTGGTACCCCATCAACCCTTAGGTTAGTTATACAAAAGGGTGTAAAAGGTGATGGAGGAGGAAGTACTTCTTTACCACTCTAACTTAGAGAATGGACGTAAATAAGAAAAAATGTATTTTCGAGTGTGAATGGATTTAGGAACTGATTGCGTTGGGTCCTGAAATGACCTAGGTGTTGGCAGCCCCTGGAGCCCGACCTCTGCGAGATAATACCGAGGTGGGTGATTGTCTTGTCCTGCTGGTAATTTATTGTAAATTTAAACAAACAAAAAAACAATGAAATTGCCGCAACTGCGAGAAGTGACAGGCTCAGCTCTGTATACGAGTATATGTATGTACTTGAACTTATATCAATCAATAATATTGCATTGTTATATGTTCAGGATATGCATGCGTTTGATTTATGTAGCTAAACGATGGTTCTCAGTTGCAAAAGTTAGTGACCTGTGTCGGCTGCTTTCTCGAACTCCATTGGTCAATGTGAGATATGAGAGAACCCTTGCTTACTGTTTAGAGGGGTGCTGCATTTTCATTGGCTGCTGTTCGGATAGCTGAAACATTGCCGAAGTTGTAATGACGCCTGTTGAAGACTTTAATAAGCCATAAGCAGAGATTATCCTTGCAGGAACCCCTTTGACAGGTCCTCAACGTCTGCACAATGTCGAATTTTTAGAGCAACAGACAAGAAGATAAGTACTGTAGATTTCTCAATGGACTTGAAGATTCTTATAAAATTTAGAGTTGATCAAAAGAATATCACGTTTTTTCTTCTGCATTTAAGTATGAGGGCAATATAACACATAACTTATAATTCGCAGTTAATAGTTATAGGATTTCCGAAATTTCGTAAATACTCCAAACAAGTAACATGTGTAAGCTATCGATTGTTTGATAGGTATTGGTTTGTGATTTTTATAAGTCTAAAAAAAGTCGTTTCGAAATACATTACATATTCATTTGTATTAAGTACCGAGTCTTGGAGCACCCCTGCATCGGTCTCAACGGAAGGTGAGAAGCTTTATTTCTCATTAAACGAATGCCAGTCAATATTATTTTCCAATGCAGCAGTGTACAAATACAATACTTTTTTTTCTAGAATGAGTAGTCGCGTCTTGGGCAGAATGTTCTATCATTGCCTATTTACATTGACAGAAAAATAACAAAAAGAACATATGTTTGTAAAGAAGAATGGAAAATGGGTCAGCGGATGTTCATCGAATTTAGTATGTAATATTGATAAATGATACTATTATAAAAACTTGTCACATAATAAACTTAACTTCAATCAAAGAATAAAATCTCTTTAAAAATGGATTTTATTCATTATTTGATTTTATTTGATTGTAAGTTTATCGTTATTCTGAATCGACTAAAATATCGACCTCCAGAGGTCGTGGGTTCGACTTCCGCTCATGAAACTCATTTTGAGAGATTTTCTCTCGAAGTTTTGTGATACGATGGACCTTGGAGCATGGGTGCTCTGATCATTTTGGACAGCATATCATTGCTGTTTGGGTTCGACCGGCCGGTTTGGTTTTGCGTGGTACCTGGTGACCAGCAATATAAAGCCAACATTACAGCAAATTGCATGCAACTTAATTAACCAAAGATCAGAAAGACCATAAGATGAAATGCCGAACGCATTCGACACATAAAAAAAACCGAACATCCCAACCGGATTTTAATTTATCGTTCGAAACGTCTTTCTTCTGTAGCAATTAACCACCCATTTGCTTTTTTAAATGTTAAATGTATCGACCCTTTTCTAATCACGAATACTTTGGATCACCGTATGGTCTTGATGTAAAAGCATCTTCAGTTGTTGCTGCCCAGCTTTCGACCTATTTTAAGGTCATTGTCAGGGCAAAACAATCTTAATGTGCCTACAAGTTTTACATAATTAAGTTCTAAAAAGGCTATTTCAAATTTCTTTGAGACAGTCGTTGGTAATGTTGGACTGAGTTAGTCTTCAAAGAAATTTGAAATCGTCTGTGAAAACCTTAATTAAGTCAGTTTGTAGATATATTTAAGATTGTTTTACCCTGTTGATGATCTTAAAATAGTTGGAAAGCTATAGTTGCTTTTTCATCAAGGCAATACCGTGATCCAGAGTATTCGTGCTTATCATATTGATCTGATCATTTTAAAAAAATTGGATTTTGAGGCCTCATGAGGCCATAAACTTGTGGCTTGATCTTTTCTTATAATTTAGGCTAATTCTAATTATTCATACTGCCATTAGCCTGTCAGACCAAAATGGTCGTCAAAACGACTGAACTACAAATTAGGTTTATTCAATGCATAAAAAATTATTTGCCATATAGCTGCACATATTATGAAACATAATTTAAAGGATTACTGGCTATCGCTTATAGCCTGCAAAAAGTAATCTACGAATAGTTCTTGATTAAATATTATTCGGTTTATAAAAAAAACTCGTTGGTATTGAATTGCAACTTATTAATCTGTTCTTTTAATATAACTAAAATTGCGAGATTTCCTCTTGAGGCCTGCGGAGCGATGAACCTTCGGTTCATCAATGGCCAAATTCACATAATTTTCGTAATGAGAAATCAATACTGGCCCTGATGGTCGAAAGCTTGGCAATAACATCTGAATTTGCTTTTTTCTTCAAGACCATGCTTTGTTCTAGAGTGTTCGTAACCCATGAATTAGTAGTTTAAGATCAATTTTGGGAACCTCATCTCGCTGATCTCAACAGAATAGTTAGGAACATGGGAGCATCGGTGACCGCAACGATTTAGGCGTTGACATGGGGCCATCACTGTAAAATAAATGGTTAAAAAAACACCGGCACCTAGAGGGTTGATATGACCTCTGATGTTGCGAACCCTCGTAAAAAATGAACTGTTTTGATTTAGATGTTTTAAATGAGTGAGTTATCTACATCATAAAAAAGCATACTTTCGACCTTAACATTACTTCAACTGAACTGATATCTTTTAGAGAACAAAAAAACTCCACAAGGACTTACTTATAGCAATGAACTATTTTTATTTCGATGTTTTATGTGGGTGACTAGACAAGTGCGATGTCTACATCCAAAACAAGTTTATTTGAGACCTAAACACTAGTTTAACTAACCTGATATATTTTAGAAAAAACATAAAAATGAGGTTTTGTCTATAACAATGAACTATTTTGATTTCGGTTCTTCAAGTGGGTGAGTAGATCTGCGATGTCTAAAGAAAAGCATATTTGAGACCTTAATGCTACTAGCTACCATTATATTTCGTGTCCGATTGACCAAATAACTTCTTTCAATTAATTAACTTTTATGTAAGGTTTTGGTTTAAAACTAGTATCTACTTAGATCAAGTGATTTTTTTGTCTGAACCAAGACTATTTTAAAAGATGACGGACTGCTGCCTATCGAAAATCCCTAATCCATTGAAATATTGCTTGATATCTATGGCTTTATGTTTTTATTAGCCCATAATAAGCAGTTTATTTCATAAGTGTAATTTAACTAAATGCATGTTTTTTGGTTGCCAGCTGGTTTTAAAAACGGAAAACAGTAATAATTTTTTGTTAATAAAGTAATTATTGGATATGCATCGAAATAATTTGCTTATTTTTTTTTTAAATTTCCCTTACAAATTCGTTTAACCCGCAAGAACACAATAAAAAACATATTGAAAGGACATATATGTACAATATATAATGCGAAGACAAGCACGACTTGTATATCAATGACAATCTTTAAAATTAGTCAATTTTAAAAATAGGAAGAACAGCCTCAAGACATGGGAAAATACGGTTTCTTCGGACTGAATCATTGGTGATGGCAAATTGTCGTAATGCATTCAGTGAGAGTATGAGGATCGAGGTCGATCAAGCCGCGGGCAAATTGTACACGCCACATTTTTTGTGTACGTTGCCATTTGACATTTTATCAGGTCAATCCAGCTGGACATTCCTTTTGAAATTCTCAAAGCAGGGACCACGTCAATGACTTTGTTATTGGCCTTGACGAACGTCGAAAATTTTTGTACTATTGCGTATTACCAACCAAAGGTCACTTTTCCAAAAATCCGTGTCTTTCCAGTCATCCACCCCCAAATCATATCGTCACTGTGGTTTCCCAGTCTATTTTCGATCTTCTTTGCTAGTCTACCATTTACTTTTACCAACGCTGACTAGGCCTCCCCGACATCCGCTGATCAAACCTTTTACCTATTTATCCTTTTATTTGTTTAATTGGGAGCTTTTATTACCTTGGTCACTTTTCCATTTCCTTCCATTTCTACTACATTTAATTCTTTTTCCCACTGACCATGGTCAATCACAAAGTATGCTTTCAAGAAAACCTTGTATATCGATTTTTCCTTTCCTTACACACGCAAGGTTTCCATAAAAGTGAATTTAATTCTTTAATAGCTTGTTTTAATTAGATAAATAATATGCAATGTTGCATGGTAGTTTTGGTTCAAATTATTTTCCTAAGATGACATGGCCTCATAAATTGACATGGAAGTGATGTAAGTCTATCCAGTGACAGTCCTTACCATTTGAAAATACAATTCGTTCGTCTTACATGAATTTCTAATAATTTACTGAAGACTTTTACACTACACGAAGCTAATTTGCAATATCTTTTATCTTTTTACTTTTAATCTTCTTCTGGTGATGGTGCATCCCAATTTCACACAGATGCTCATTTTGATAGCCAACAATTTTAGTGTAGATCTTATTTGTTGGCACTAGATATTATTTTAGTGACTTAAAATTTTTCTAAGACACATTTATTACAAACTTTTGAGCTCATAGTAACTCACGAATACTCTGGATCACGGTATGGTATTGACAAATTGACATAATTTGGTTTTTCACAGACGATTTCAAATTTTTTTGAAGACCGACTCAGTCTCAACATTTCCAAAGCCTGTAACAGTATTGATGTGAACTGTACTTAATACTGGTACTGCCCTTGGGACTGAACCAGTTTTCAAGAAAATTGAAATGTCTCTGAAAAATTTAATTATGTCAATTCGTAAACATTTTTAAGAGTAATTTGTCCTGATGACCTTAAAATAGGTCGAAAGCTTGGCAGCAATAACTGAATTTGCTTTTTCATCGAGACCATACCGTGATCCAGAGTATTCGTGAGTTAGTATGAGCTCAAAAGTTTGTAATACATGTGACAGAAAAATTATTACCGTGATCTGCAGTATTCGTGAGTAGAAAAGTGGTCGATGCATCTAACACTTAAAACAGAAACCTCATAGTTAATCGAAGCACTGTTTAATTTTTCGTTCAATGTGATACACATGCTGTGACTATTTAACAACCATGCATCCAAATTGGTCTGACGACTTTATGTTGTAAACGTAACGTGCTCTAACCAGTCTGATTGTACGTTTAATTTTGTATCCAACGGTATGCCTAGGCATTATACAGTTTCTAGTTGTGGAACAGTCTCACCTAGTAGCAGTAACGCTTTATGGGGGCTTATAGGGGTAAAGCTTTACCTTTCACATGGTTCCCAATTTTCAAATTCTGCTATAAACTATTGTAATTTCGTGATAGTTAACTGTTGATTTCATTTGAAGAGCACTTCATATAACATAATACCTTTCTTGCCATTCTCAATTTTGCCCATAATGTCCATTTTACTACTTTCCTCGCTGTCCATAACTGATTCTGAATATTGAAAAATTTGGACATCACGAGTCTTAGATCTTCTAAAATAAAATCGTTCAATTCTGCTGTTCGTTTTATAAGATATTTTTGAGTTTGATATGTATACACTTGGCATTTTCTTCTGGAAATTTACTGTCATTTTTTTTCTTTTGGTTTTAATAACTGAATCGTAGGTGAAGAACGTGTTATAGTAACTTTGGTTCGTTAATGGGTATTGTCAAACATTTGCATACATTTCTGAATTATCTTCTTCTTGAACTACAATAATCATAGGCGAAGAACATGCCATGGATTTATTTGTATTTTATTAGTACTCCTTCTGTCAAATGTTTGCTCATCCATCTTGCAAATATATCTAAATACTTATCTTCTTCATGAACTACAATAACTTGATCGTAGGTGAAGACGGTGAAGATTTCTTTGTCTTTGATTAGTATACCAATATGAACAAATTGTTATCCCACTCTTCAGAGGAAAACGGATGGGTTTTTAAAATCCTAATGACTAAGAACCAATTTTTAAGCTCTTAATGGCTTTCATAACCTGTAAACTTTTTTTCGATTTCCAGCAGATTCTCGAGATACAAGAAACTTAATGCATTTCGTAAGTGAATCTCTCGGTCCTGCATCTCCTAGACTCTTCCACACTTCTGGTAATGTGTTGTTTTTTCAAGATCTATAAACATCATAGGCCACATTACACTGTGATCTTTTGTGGAACCACTGTGATTACAGGTGTAACAAAATCTTTCATTTTATGTGTGATATATCCGGTTAATATTTTAACAGTAGGACTATTTGTATAGATAGCTATAATTTTGGAACTTATTTTCATATCCTTTTTTTAAAACTGAAAGTGGGTTAAGTCCTACCTTACTGTGGGAGATAATTCGTTGTAATAATATTCTTAAACAATCCCTGAAGAGCTTTTCCGACGAAGACCTTTTGACTCTTTGTTGACTCCTCAGGAAGGGATTTTTTACTTCTTCTATTTTCACTAGTTTTTCTTTCCTCCCGGCAAATTTTGAAAATATTCCTTCCATGTTTCTATTTCTAAATTTGACTATTCTTTTGTCTTAAAGGATTTTTTCTTCATATAACTCATAGAATTCTTCGAGTCTTGCCATTCGGTATGCATCTTAACCTTGGTCATCCCAAAATTGCTAAACACAATTTCTCCAGTGACTTGGGAAAAAAAGTTAATATCAATCAAGACCTATAGATCTTTTAAATATTCTTTTATAAGTGCAAGTCCAGCACCTTGAATTTCATTGATATCCGTGACATGAGAGATCTCGCGATTCGTTAAGTCTCCCCTCTTCTGTTCCAGGTGGGAGAGGGAGCTTTCGCGGAGCGGGATTCAGAAACAGAAACGACAGAAAGCGTGCAGAAGCCGACCTGCGCTCTCAAAGCAGTGTTGGGTCGATAGCAGCAGGGTCACTGCCAGACCCGACAAGTCAGGTCAGTGATTCAAAGGTTACCGACGATGGACTCCCAGGGTCCGTTTATCGTGCCGGTCGATGCCTACCACATAACCTACTATATAGTAATTGCCATCCTCGCAGTCCTGCTTCTCGTCAATCTGTGCTTAGACACCAACTATTTCTGCCGGCTCGGAATCGTCGTTTTCAGAGCACGCTTTTGCAAGAAGAAGGCACATGTTCTAGACACTCTCACTACAAACAGTAAGTGTTTTATTTTCCTAGGTTATATTAAAGCCTCGTACCACAAATGTTTTTTTTTTCTTTTAACTCAAATTCGTGGCCGCAAACACAATATTTTCAGTACAACCTTCCTTCTCCACACGTAAATAATTACGAAAAAAGCTTTGGTATTTTATGTTATAATCGAAGCCTTGATGAACCTTGCCCATTTAGGATTTTAATTTTTTCAGATTAGTCTCTACCACACACCAACCACAAATTCAGGGCTTCTACATTTCTTTGGTTTCAATCAGTGCTCTTCTTCACGTCAAAGAACTTTTGAATTGTTTGAATATCTTCTTATTGAAATTATAAAATGAATGACAGAAAAAAAATTATATTTACGCCTGGAAAATTTCATTTCGAGTATTATTGTACCTTGAAAGTTAAATTGTTTCGTATTGTAATAAATTATAGCTACAATATTTCTTCCGAAAAACATTCCGATCGCACATTAAGATAACATTTCTTAATATGCGTAACTAATAATTTAGTTACTGCATTAATATTTTTGTTTAAAAATTGACAGTATAAAGTATTTTACAATTGTCCTAACCACAGTTGAAATACGTTACTGCTTATCAATAATCATTAAATATTAAGGTGTTGGGACTTGGACTTGACAGGGCTTGGTCTTAATCTTGATTTAAGCATAAATGTGGAAATAGGTATTGTAAAGAAACTGTTTTTGGTGGATTAAATTAAATTGTGGTTTGAATGCAAAAACATTCAACGAGAACTGAATTTACGTCTACTTCGTGTATATTCACCCTTAACTTACACAAATCCGTATTTATATCAACTTTTTAAAATATTTTAATTGTTAAAGAAAAACAAGGTTAACTGTTAACGAAAGTACTGACAAAAGATAAATGAAACGTTTAAATATTCCTGTGTAAATTGATATACGAATATTTCAAGGATTTTTCTGATGGTATTTTTAAAAATTTGTATACATTTTACGTTATATCAAAATGAAGTTAATAAATCCAACTATGGTTTATTTAGTTTTCCACGTGAACAACTGCAGTACTATAAAACAAATTACTTTGCTCTAGTATTTAAGTTCTAAATATTCCATTCATATAATTTATAATTTTCGATAGTGGATTAATAAAATTCAAAGATAAATATTGTAAATTAGATGAATTATTGTTGCCAACGATCACAAAATTACAATAAGACTTTTATGTCATTTATGTCAACTGATCCATAAAATAACTTGTTCAAGAATAGTCATAAAATATCCATTTTTGCTAAGCCATTAAATATTTAGCATCAATAATAATAAAGTTAATCGACCAAGTTTAAGGGTAAATGACTTAGCGCTAATAAGCTTGAACACGCTAGCCTAAACAAGCAAGACAGGCCCGTTTAATAATTTATAACTTAATCAATCTTCCCCCATGTAAATTTTTAACAACTGCTAAGTACACTAATGGTGTTAAATAATAAAAATGGACTATTGACATAAACGGATCCAACCCGACTTCTCTCCAAAGGGCTGACGCCAGGACCCAATCAATTCATTCATCGTTTTCTAATTGTCAGGAAATTCGATAAAATCACTTTATTGGTATTCTTCATCTGTTTAAGAATAGGCCATGCGAGGTTGATACACGGGTGGTTTGTATATAGTAATGATAGTTTTGTAAAGTTAGCGTATTTTGAGAGTGAATGTATTTATTGGCGTGAATGCGATTCGGCCCTCTGACGCTACAAATGCATTAAAAAACACGATTAAAGAACGTGGAAGGATCTGCAGAGAAGCTTTTTGGCGTATCAAGAGGACTGTCGATAGGTCAGTAGGACCTGACTCGTAGATGATGGGTCATCATCATCCGGATTAAGTACAGGCCATGCGAGGTTAACACAAGGACACGCGTGTGTGTCCGGCATGCAGAGAAAGATTACTCGATGTGTCCCACCTAATTGAACGGAATTCCTTGGCTCCATATAGAGAGGGCATGTCACCCGATATGAGAATTGTATTTGAACAGAGCGAGTATCTGGATCCCCTGTTCAGATTTTTGGAGGAAACAGGGTTGTTTTATAGTATATGTTAATGATAGAATTGTGTCCCTAGGGTGTGTTGGGAGTAAAAGTATTTATTAGCGTGAATGAGAAAAGTGAGTGGGTCGATGGCGGAATATTAAAAAGTAATGAAATACAAAATTTATGTGGCATCGGCATGTCGTAAGGAAATATCTATATGTTTTCCATCATTTTCCAGCGTGTACGGAGTTTTCTATTTCACTCTCAACTGCTTTAAGGCGAAAATTATAGGGTGATGAACGGCCACTCATTGCTCAATGATAATTTATTGCCGAATTCATTCCAAAAGGCATAGACTTGTTTTCAATTATTTTATCGTAAAGAATTAATCAAACCTATATTTGTCGATTTCTTATGTGTTTACCTTGTCCTTGTCTCGTGGGACTTTCTGACATTAGAATAATTCATTATGTTGTTGTTTAAACTGATAAAATATTACTTAATGGAAAAAGCTATTCAGCTTTATATAACGAGCATTATTTTAATCTATAAATAATTTATTTAATCACTTGGCGTGCACATATTTTCCAATCTTTAAATTTACGACAGTTTATGTGTTTGGCAAAATATAACAATGTTTTCCTTCCTATTCGACCAGATATCACCACTTATTTCTCTCTTTATTTGCTTGCTATAAGGCGGCCATATTTTATAATAATGAATATTAAATTTTTCTACTTTCTTTCTTTCGGTCTGAAAACATATCCAGTCATACCAGATTAAATACGTATTGCAATTAGAAACTCCATCATTACTATCAAAAACATTTAATTGGTCTATATCACAAAAACTTACATAAATAAATAAATATAGATTTGTAATAGAAAACAAGTTTACGCAAACTTATTAGATGAAGATTCGTTTCTTTTTTTTCGAATTCCACTGTGGTTCTATTGTACATCGTTCAATCTGAAGCCACAACCTGCTTTGAACGACCGTAGTAATTTTTTTTTTTTGTGAGGGATGTTGGTGGCCGCAACGGTTTAGGCGTTGACACGGCGCTAATCACTGTAAGGTAAAGGTCCCGGGTTCGAATCCAGCGGCCCTGCATTCTAACCCGACATACTTACAAATGAACTTTTTTCCTAACACACCGGAACCCCCGAGGGTAATATGGCCCCTGGTGTTATGAACCCTCTTAAAAAAATGAACTGTTTTGATTTCGAGTGTAATGAGTAATACAATAAATGAGTTATCTTCATCATAAAGGGCATACTTTCGACCTGAACAATACTTCACCTGAACTGATATATTTTAGAAAAAAATAAAATAAAAATGAATGAAATATTCAATAAGGAAAAAAAATTAATTTGAACTCTACTACATCATGAGAGCAAGACGATAAAGGTTGTTAAGGGAAGGACGCATGACCAACAATTTAAAATATGTACATAATTTCTGACCGAGAGACGTACCTAACAAAAAAGGTAAATTTTTTAAAATTAAGAATCAAAGTAGATATTAATTTTTCACATCCCAAAAAACCCTGAATACAAATTTTTTGAGAAAATGAAATTTTTTCTCAGTTTTCATCTTCCAACTTTGGTTTTTTTCGAAAATCATAAAAATGGTGATAATTTAAAAAAACAGATGAAGGTCGTGGGTTCGAATCCCGCTCGTGACACTAGCTTTTTCATTTCAACCAATACCTTACATAAAAATATTAATTAATTTAAACAACTCCGCACACTGCAGGGGTCTAAAACCCTATAAACTACCCGCAACTCAATAAATTAGCTCCCTAGACATTATTAGAGCCAAAGATGTAAAAATAAAATTCTAGGTATTTTGTTATTTTCATCCTTATTTTTATCTCTTTGAATAATACTAAAATCTAAACTTTGTTCAAGTACGCTAAAACAAGTAAGAAGCATTTTTCAAAGCGTGCAACAACGTTGAATTTTGAAATCCCAAAAGAGTTATGAATATTTAAGTAGAGCACCGGACATCATCGACTAAAACTGTCCCTGGTCAGCCCAAAAATGACTGTTTTTTATACTTAAAAACATTAGTATTTAATAGGTTTTAAAGGTGTTTAAAATGAATCCAAATAGTTTTTCTAACAAAACAACTTTGGATCTACTTTAATGGAGTCTTTTGGTTTTTGTAACTTCTACATCTAAAATATCCTGCTTATTATTTTCTTATTCTAAGAGAGAACTAAATTGACTGATATCATATAATTTTCTTGAAATATATGCACGACAAAGGCAGAACGCCATGTTAAAACAAATTATTAAAAAATTCTCGTATCTTAGGGTTGATTGGAAAAAACGCTCGGACAAGTGTTAGTTATATTATGAAAATTAACCTAGTTTGCCTTGTAGTAACTTAAGTGTAAAACAAATTTAACGAGAATAACAGGAAAAGTCTGTTTTTTAAAAACACTTTTTGTAGTCTATAAGTCATAAATAAGTATGTTGAAATGTACTTCTAAAAAAAAGACCGACAGTATCATTTTCATTCTATGTTTAAAAGTGGGAAGTCCTGGGTCGCCCTTACCTTGAATTTGACTTTGGCAAAGCCGTGTAGGCATTTCCTGCCCTCTCGTCCTCGGGGACACATTTTGACTATGTATGCTCTGAATGAACACGTGAAGATGGACAAAAGGCATCGAGGAACGCTAAAAAGGCTATTCCTATTCTTAGCCTCAACCACAGCCTGGTCGCATGTCAGAGCTGGACGAGGAACTGATACGAGCAT